TCACATTCATTGACTTTTTATCCCATTAAAAAAAAAAAAAAAAAGGAAAAAAATGATTCTTAAATCTAAGATGATATTGAATAACTTACTAATGATTGTGTTTAAAAAACAAGTGAAGAAAAAATTTTTTTATCCTGAATTAACTGAATTGTTGAAATGTTTCCATTGTTGGTGAACACCTGTCCAACCATAAAAGCCTCACACACCTGTTGATTGGCTATCTGACCCGATTAAATGTTTTTTATGCCAGTTATTTAACTGAATGGTAACATAGTCATTTAATGAGAACACCATGTCTAACAAAGTGAGGAAGTTCGATACTATTCATTTGTTCAGTCTGGTTAGCTTTATTGCATGGATAGTTTCTTAAAATATTTAAATATTTTGTAATGTTGTAAAATACAAATGTTACCTTTTCATTATGACAATTAAAAAAATGTTGTAATATTTAGGTTTTTTAAGATAATGTTTTTGTTTATTTCTCTTTTAGTTACCAGTTATTACTGCTGTTATGCTGACCAGCAATAAACACAAACTGATCTTGACTGTCCTATGGTGCATAAAAAAAATTGTCTGGGAAATTACAATTCTAGCTGTTTTTTAGTCCTGAGTTTATTCATTAATTAAGATAATTGTCAACTTTAAAAGGAGAGATGTCAGTATAATGAAAGAAAGAAATTAGAGAATGATTCATTGATACCGTTACATTGTGTCAGACCCAAACCAAGAAACAGTTCACCAGATGTTTAATTAGTCTACCCAGGTGTCACACAAGAAATTAAGTTCATTAACTTTATTTTTGTGTAACAATTTTTAGTTTTTTTTTTCTTTTCAATTAACCAACAGTAAATAGGGCTTTATGAAACATCATTTTTTAAAATGAAATGGGGCACATATTTTGCTTTTGTTTTGTTTTTTAGTTGTTTTTTTTTTAAGAAAAAGTACACTAGATAGGAAGATAAAAATTGTTTTTAGTTTTACAATAACGAAAATAAAACCTCACAACTCTGGAAAGGACAATGACTGTCGTTTATTCTCATAAACAATCATTGGCAGAGAGAAATAGCGAAAATGCTCATATGACCATTTGGTTTGTCATGGCGGAGTTACGTCCCCTGGGAGAATTCTCTCAGATGTATATTGTCGCTCGTGACATGCAGTCGGGTTTAGGAGGTGCTCTCATGTTGGGAGGTAGCAAACGTGGAATTTCTAAGTAATTGTTCTAAAATTCTGTTGTTATGGATTGGATAATGTAATGTTTCATGATAAGACACAATGTAAGGTAAGTAAAGTGTGTTGTCAAATGCGTTTAACCACGCTGTTTGAATGGGCTTGGATGTCGTGCCGTCTGCTTACATCGAATCCGATCGTTCATCCAGCTTACTCGAGTATCAGTAATGATAACAGCAGCAGTTACTGTGAAGAATGGTGTCTTATACAACATTGCAATATTCACTTTTTAAAAACTGAATATGATTGTTTCTCGTAACCTTTGCTTGTAAACAATAATTATAGATTAAATACAAATTCATCGAGCTTGGCTAAACAGACGTACCAGGTACAGCACGCCTTAGTGTAGCCTATTCTGTTATCCTACCAGACCGTCAATCTCTGTGTGGTACCAGTTTATCTAATTCAGTACACACACAGACTATGCTTGTTTTGTTTAAAAAATCTGCTGTTTTGGATTTTATCTTCTAAAAGTTATTCAATAACGTGGGGATAGTAACAATTTGAGGTATACAATGCTACGCAGACTGTGTTGTGTGCTAATGCGAACACAGTGAAGAATCCATGACCTGCAGTCGTATTGAGAACATGACTCTTTCAGTAAAGTGTCTCAAAACATCCTGTGTTTTTTGTAGTATGTATTAAAAATATACGGTAACCACCATTAAACTTTTGTTTGTTGAAAATGTAAGAGATAATCTAGAATGTGTTTTCATTTCACTAAAAACCAGATAATTAGGCAGTAAAGATAAAAGAAGTTCAAAACATAAACATATCTTCTCCTTTTCCTTATTAATTACATTACCTATGAACATATGTACAGGTTGTTGACAAATACTCGTCATTTGTATGGGAAATATTTGTTAACTCTCGAGTAACTTTTCACAGAACTAATTAGATTATATGTCCTTTTTATATTATATTTTCATTTTTAAAGAAAATATAATTCATAGAACTGCGTACTATACTTGTAGAATTTTTCGAGGAAACACTTATTGGCCATTATTGATGAGAATTGATACTAGGAAGGAATAGGTTGGAGATCAGTACAGTTACCTAAGTTACTTAGATTTAATTAGTGGTAGGTACACTTGGCTGTGACCAAGTACTGATCATTATGAATTTTAACAGTTATGTAAATTTTAAATGCCAGCTTTTTCTGTTATGAAATACTGAGCATGAAAATATTTTAAATTCCCCATTATCAATTTACAACATATGTTAACATATAACCTTAGACAGACTGGAACCAGACCGAAAAATATGCATGCATCAATACCATTTAACAATAACCTAGGTATTATAAGGAAATAGAGTTCAACAAAATCTGAAAAAGTCTGACAAGGTTTTTTTTTTCATCATTGTTTTATGTAACACTATATTTAATCTTACCTGATAAGGGAATAATTTCCATAAACTTTAAGGCTAACCTACTAGTACACAATAACACGCTATTTAATTACCGACAATAATAACAGTGGGGGTTTCATGAATTTCATTGTAAATTGAAACAAAATGCCATACTTATTTCATGATAATATGTGTGTAGACTGTGTCAATGTTGGAATGAGTTTTTTTTTTTTTTTTTTAAGATAGAATAATTAAACAAATACTAAACATAACCATTAGTATTTCATTAGAAGGACAATATCTGCTTACATCTCCTGAGATACTGTTAAACTCATAGAATTGATGAATAAATCAGAAATTCATTTGGAGACATGACAGGAAGAGGCAGAGTAGTGTTGGTGTTTGTAAAACATAAACAGAGGGCCCCTTTACAGTAATCTATTTGAGTTGAATGCCATCAGATAAACACTTCACACACTGACCTAAGCGACAATCTAATTACGCTGTTCCTCATGCAGGCACTGTGGTATCAAGATTTTTATCTGGTCTTGTAATTCTCTGTTATGTGAAAGTTGATGGATCCATGACAGCTGTGTTTACACATATTGTGCTTTTGATGTAACTGTATTGCTCAATAACTTTGTATCAATTAATACTGTCCACTGTATGTATTAAGTTAAATAAATGATAATTAGAATTTATGAATATTTAATTAGATAATTATAAAAAAGGAAAGTATGATATTGAATACAAGAGTACTATTTAATGTTGATCTAGAAAATGCAAAAATAGATGCCATCTGTTTCAAAATGTTTTAACAATACATGTACCTGGGTATTATAGGTTATGTTTGCTTACTCTTTCTCCTGACATAGAAACATTGCTCGACAGATGTGGTTCAGGTTGACACGCCTTTGATGTACGGGTGTTGTTGGTTTTGTGGAATTTGTGGCCAGGAACCTGAACAATTCACTAGCATGTACATGTTTCTGAAACCACCAGCTTATTGTACTGGCACTTATGTACAATGCTTAATATAATGGTACCCCTGAAAATAAAAATCCATCTTTAATTCATAACATTTAATGTGTTTATTAGGGCTTAAGCTTATATATGTTTCATGTGTTAGATATTTACTCAAGTCGTTTGTTAAAACTACTTGCCAGGAGGGGCAAGTAAGAATCAAAGATCATGACTAGAACTCTAATATTGCTTTGATTTGTCGGACAAAAACAAACAAAAAACTAAACTGGTAAAAAAACATCTGAGATGTCAGCTTTCAATTTTAGCTTTCATTTATTATTGTTTGTGAATCTGTCATTTAAAATCTGAGTGTTAACTTTGATTTGACATCTGTGTATATGTGTTGATGCCCTGTATAATTAACAGGTACTGAAAAATCAAGAAAGAAAAAAAAATGTCTGAATTCTTAATGTCATTAGATGGAAACAAAATAACTCCTACCTCAGTGATCCAATCTATAATTTATTTTATGAGTCCTTTTCAACATTACTGCTGAAATCAATGGGTCCCACACTGTAAATTTTAAGGGTTTTCAGAAATTTTACGATTCTCATTCAAATTATATGGGTACAGGACTCGGAATTCATGTATAGGTTTGTCACTGTATCTCTATGTATATAAATAAACATGTATTTGGCAGTAGTTTGAAGGTCCTCTGTAATCATCAGATATAAAAAATAAACAGAATTATTGATTTATGGAGCTAGTACAATGTCCCTGTTTAGATTTTGACATTTTCCTTCCGTTTCCTCAGAGGTTTCAAAATGCAAGCCTTTAGCATCACTGACAATTCTTGTCAGGACAAAACTGATGTGTAATGCAGTTTAAATAATTATTTGCTCAACTGGGCTTGATTCTAAATGTGTGTCTTTTGTACAACCTTCTGTAGGTTTTTCCATGGAATTATTTTATGTTGTACTCTCTGTTTGATGAAGAATCGGTACATATCTATCACTTCAGTTTAAAAATGTTTTGAATTATTGATATCAAAATATTTTTGGGTAAAGTATACATCCAAAACATAACATCAGTTGTATCTCATAATGAACATTACAGTCCAATATTCAGTAAATGTTACATGATAATGCCCACCGAACAGTATTGCAGTGTCATATCATAAGTAAAGCTCCCCTGGTCTTCAGTTTCTAAATCTTATTTTGGGCTCTAATGAAATGAATACAGTACTCCTGAATGTTTGTTATATATAAAATGACTCAATCACAGGCAGTGGGTTAGGACGGTGATCCCTTGTTAAATGAATACATATTTATATAATTTTGTTTTTGTATATCATATATGAAATGTTTCATTCACAGGCTGTGGGTTAGGACGGTGGCCCCTTTGGGAGGAATTTGAATTTTTTGTGTTTTTTCATGTGTTATACCTTTCATTCGCAGGCTGTGGGTTAGGACGTGATGGCCCCACGTGTCAGCCTGAAGTTGGTGGTACTGCTGATGATGGGCATTCCGTTCCTCATCACCATGTACCACTGGGGCCAGTGTGATCTTGGCAGGCTGGATGACAACTTCAGGTAATTCACATGCACATACATACAGTCAGGTTATTCACATGCACATGGTGTCAGGTGATTCACATACAAACACAGTCAGGTAATTCACATGCACACACAGTCAGGTAACTCACATGCACACACAGGAAATTCACATGCACACATATACACAGTCAGGTAATTCACATGCACATACACATACAGTCAGGTAATTCACATGCACACAGTCAGGTAACTCACATACACATACAGTCAGGTAATTCACATGCACACACAGTCAGGTAACTCACATACACACACAGTCAGGTAATTTATATGCACACACAGTCAGGTAACTCACATGCACACATAGTCAGGTAATTCACATGCACATACACACAGTCAGGTAATTCACATGCACATACACAAAGTCAGGTAACTCACATACACACACAGTCAGGTAATTCACATGCACATACACACAGTCAGGTTATTCACATGCACATACACAAAGTCAGGTAACTCACATGCACATATGCACAGTCAGGTAATTCACATGCACATATGCACAGTCAGGTAATTCACATGCACATACACACAGGTAATTCACATGCACATACACACAGTCAGGTAACTCACATACACATACAGTCAGGTAACTCACATACACACACAGTCAGATAATTCACATGCACACACAGTCAGGTAACTCACATACACACGCAGTCAGGTAATTCACATGCACATACTGTCAGGTAATTCACATGCACATACACACAGTCAGGTAATTCACATGCACATACACAGTCCGGTAATTCACATGCACATACACACAGTCAGGTAACGTACATACACATACAGTCAGGCGATTCACATGCACACACACACACACACACAGTCAGGTAATTCACATGCACACACAGTCAGGTAACTCACATACACATTAAGGGTCCCATGATCTACACACACAGGTACATTCAGGTAATTGACACAAATAGTCAGGTAATTAATACATGCATAAATACATAGGTTATCCACAAGTAAATGTAGAGCAAGGTAATTCAAAGAAATGTATTGAGTCAGATAATTCATATACAATTCACATACATGTGTACGGCATTTGCAGATCAATTTGCATAAACCTCCTTTCAAATTTGTAAATTAATTAAGATGAGATCGTAGTGAAATCATAGCAAGATTGACATTAAGACAGTACTAAAATTGTCCCATCTGAATGTTTTGTTTTTTTTTGAAACTGAAAAAATATTCATTAACTAAACTGAAAGTCACTTCAGAAAGAATAAAATAAGAAATATGAAAAAAATCAAATTAGATTTGATAAAAGATTCTAAATGAAAAGATGGAATGATCATTTGGATTTCTGGTCCCAAATGAACAACCAACAGCTGCAGTCAGCTACAAGTTTAAATGTTTACACACATCCTCACTCAATTCACATTCTTTTTTTAGAATTTGTTTTGTTGAGTTGGATACAAAACTGTACATACATCCCACCTATCACACACATTTATTGGATGTCAATAACTTGATGTGATATCATTGACAACCATCTTCATTTAAAACTCTTTGTGAATGCTACAGAATCTCCCAAAAACAAATATTATCAACCGTGAACTTAACTGATTAACATGTATGTGCAGAACATAAACACATGTGGCATATCAAACAGGTAACACGTGATGGGGCAGGAAACTCGGTCTGAATTACTACCGTGTTGATGCATTTCCTGGTATCTGTTAGCGTAGAAAACCTGGTCTGGATTACATTCTGCAGTGTTGTGATAGGCTTCCTCCTGACCTGGTACAAATGCATATACCTGGTATATATCCAGTTGAACGGATCAAATTAAGTTACCTGTAGTCCAGGAGAAATATCCACCTGAAGGAGTAGTGGTGTAGTGGATGACATTGATTAGTGGCATGGAAAAAACATTGATTCCAATGAGTGTTTGTGTATTTCATAATTGATTAATTGATAAAATTTTAAGAACTATAGATACTTCTCACTGTAAACCTACCAGGAAATAGATTCTTGTAAGATTGGCAGCAATGGTAGATTTACAACCATCATTCTAGAGAGATTTTGCATCGTGGCAGCTATTGTACATATGCTTGAATGTAAAGTTGTTAGGGAAAACGCATCAAAATACTTGGTTTATAACATTTGATTGCATTGACACTTAAAAAAGGAATGATAAAATAAAAAAAAAATAAAACACAATAACATTAAGACAATGATACTGGTATTGAAATTGGCAAAATTGCATCAGTAGAATCAGCTGATTCCAAATTATTAATCGATTATACGGGGCACAATTACTATTGTGTCAATAATTTTGTCTTCCTTAGTCCAAGAAAAATAAAATATGTAACACAGTTAATTGTATTGAGATTAAAACTACATGAATTCTGCAGTTATTGAAAGCAGCGTTGAAATCTTTCAATGAAGGTAAATGGCTAACTTATGATATTGATAAATTGTCATAAAAATTAGACACATCCCCCAGTTGACTTTATTTTGTTATTGTTTGGATCAAAGAGATTTACTGGCATATCATACAAATAATACTGAAGTCCAGACGAACTGAAATAAACCAGACCTGTACTTAATTTCATCAGGTACATCTGTTGTGTTGAAATCAGGTTTTGCTGAAAGGAATAATAAATTTTAACTGAGATGAAATAAGAAAAGATTGATTACGCAACACGAACTTGAAAAAGTGAAGAAACTCATCTTTTTATGTCAATCTGATTTCTACAGGGAAGGGCAGTACCGAGGGGCAGGGCCGGTGGATAAGTTTGATTCATCTGCACGCATTCCGCACAGAGACGTAAATGCTATCGGCCAACCTGCAGAGGAGGGTCCCCTTCCATATAAGGAGATAGAGTGTGTTGTCAATGGTGACTACTCCATTAAAGGTCGTCTGGAGGACAAGGAAGTGTACCTACCATTCACTTTTGTACAGAGATACTTTGAGGTAACCAGGTTTACTGAAGATGTTGTTTGATAAGTGTAGAAAAATCATTAAACAGACACCTCTATATTAATGATCTATTTTGTCAAAATCAGTAATTTTTGAAATTTAAAAAACTAACCTCTACCTGAAAGCTTTAAGGTTGTCAGTAAGAGTAAGACAGCATACACATAATGTGTAGTTTTGTTTTTAACTTATTCTCTGAGCGGCCACTAATCCATATTTGATAATTACAGAACTTGTATATGCATGCTTTGTTGTAATTCCACGGAAACAAAACAATTATGTATGAATGCCTGGTACTTGTTAAGAATCTAAACTCAGGGGAATACTACACAATATGTTCTCAAACTCAACTCGTTCATTCCTCATATAACAGTGGCTTTGTGTAGGAGTTTACTACACATCCTACACACTCTATATAACTCTACCAGTAAGTTCAACAATTATATTCAAGGCACACTTATTCAAAACAATGGCACTCTCATGTTTCTGGGTCAATACAACAGGATAAGATATCATCATCTGAGAGTGATCAGCAACTGTATATTTAAATCATTATCGTTTTTCAATAGATTTTTCTGGCTCTTTATCTCTTCAATTGAATTCCTTTATTTGTTCATTACAACACCTTTTTGCAATTGTTTTTATAGAGAGGGTTAGAAGAAATATGCTGGGTATTAATCCATACGTCGGTGGCATTTGTTAATTTGATAAACATACATTGATATTTGAAAGATAATTATATACTGTACAATCATTGATTTTCAGAGGGTTTTTATTTATCTTGATTTTGTGGGTACACTTAATCCACAAATTTATGTCTTTTGAAATAATTATAAGTAGTCTAATTCATCTTTATCTATCCACGAAATCAAGTGCCTAAGAAATTATACTTTTGAAAAACCATGAAAATTGAGTCTTATGAAAATGTATGATTTTACAATCTTCTTATTATACATTCTCTTAATTAAAAAAATGTCTCTACAAAGAGGTTTTAATTCCAAAAATTTATAACTCTTGTCAATAAGTCTTTAGAGTTAAAAGCAAAAAAAAAAAAAAAAATTAACAATACTGAAGTGTTTTTCTCCAGAGGAAAGAAAACACTTCGTCATGGATTCTGAACAAAATAGCCATTGACACACATAGTGTAAGGAAAGGCAACTCCAGATACTGTGCATGATTGTTTCTGTCATCAATGAAAACAAAATGAATTCAAAATAGCTGTCTCAATATTGTTTCAAAGTTTAAAGTGTAAAGTTTTATCAAATATTTCATTCAAAGTCACATCCTTTAGATTAAAATATTGCTTTCGTGAAACTTAAACCATTGTCATATTGTTGTTCATTTTTTTTCACTATTTCATGAATATTTCAGTGTATGGAAAGGTTTTTAAGAGCAAAACTATTTATGTGTTCGAGTTATGAAGAAGTCAATCATGGAATATAGCCCTCAGTTTTCTCTGGCTCCTACACCAAACATTTGACCTTTAAAAGGACAGATCGAGGGTATCAAGTCAAAATGGCTGATATCAAATGAGCCAGAGGAAATCCAGGATATGTGAAATAATGAGCAATGAAATACATAATTACAAATGTAAAGATACTACATCAGTTTTAAGTGCTGTTTTACCATTGTTTAATGTTTCTTTCTCACAGGTTTACGGCTCCATCAACTCATATGATGGGTATGACCGATTTGAATTACAACACAGTTACTCACAGATCCACCCACCCAGAGACAGCTATTCACCTGATGGTGTCTTCATGTCTTTTGAGTTCTACAATGTGGAAGACAGAAGAAGAGTCAAATGTATCAGTGGAATTGAAGGTAGGTCTCCTGATTAGGGTACAACAGTGGAATTGAAGGTAGGTCTCCTGGTTAGGGTACAACAGTGGAATTGAAGGTAGGTCTCCTGGTTAGGGTACAACAGTGGAATTGAAGGTAGGTCTCCTGGTTAGGGTACAACAGTGGAATTGAAGGTAGGTCTCCTGGTTAGGGTACAACAGTGGAATTGAAGGTAGGTCTCCTGGTTAGGGTACAACAGTGGAATTGAAGGTAGGTCTCCTGGTTAGGGTACAACAGTGGAATTGAAGGTAGGTCTCCTGAGGAGAAAACATCAGTGGGATGGAGTATAGGTCTCAAGACAAGGAAATTAAAAATTAGGTGGCGCTGGATGTGGCACAGATCGCATTTCTTTCCATTTCTCTTTATTAATGAGGACAAAATATTTCACAAAGCAAGAGCTTTCTCCCATGTTGCTGATATATGTCGAAAATATTAAAACATAATGCAGGAATTAAAAATTAGATAAAGATTGAAATTAATCAAACAAGAAATTATGGTAAACCTTTTAAAATAAAAACAAAAATATTCTGTCTAGTGATGGTTTGAATCCTTTCTTTTCTTGCTTCACTCATAATTTGAACCATTCAAACATATCATGAGATTGTATTGTATATACCTAATCAGTAATAGAGTTATTTGTGTCAAAAAAATCACTCTATATTATATAGATGTCACTTAATTAGCATGGATTCAGCTTGGTTTCATTCATGCCTGTCACATTGTACTTCGGCTGGCTGATAAAACTTGAAGAAGCCCCAATTCTGTATAACATTACACACAATCAGTATGCAGAGAACAAAATGTCGGCTAGTGCTGTTTTACTACACATTTGTTAAGATAATCACACAAAGATTATCTCCATCAAATAACTTAAAGAGTTATAGGTATGCTATTTACACACCATTGAGACAATACAATGAAGAATCAGTAGCCCTAGTTTTGTTTTTGCTTACTTTGTATTTTCTTTATCCAGTATAATAATCAACAAAATAAATCCTGAAGTTTTCTAACAGTTCATTAACATGCAGGTTATTCAAAAGAAAATCACATCATAATCAGCATGCTTGTCAATATTTCAAACAGGCCAATGTATTTAATGTTTTGTAGCCTTTTTTGGCACACTTAATACTTCCTTGTGATTTTAGGACATGCTGACTCGTATTGTTTGAACTCTTAATTTATTCTCACAAGCTTCATTTGCTACTATTTGCATGGGTTTAAAAGAACCCGAAAAACTTGAAAATAAGACGTTTATTTCCTTTGATAGTAAACAAATGCAGGTTTATTCATATAAGAGACTTCAGGTTTATCTTTTAGGGAAGGCTTATGTTTGAGGCTAGCTTGTGTTCAAGTTTTTAAGGGTAGTTACTTTTTGCTTAGAATGACCTAGGGCTGAAGGTATGTCGGGCTGACAATAACTTTTGTATACATTGCAGGTGTACCAGTATCAGTCCAGTGGAACCACAATGGACACTTCTACCCAATACAGATTGCCCAGTATGGTTTGAGTCACTACAGCAAACAGTTGATGGAGCCTAGTCCACAGCGAGCGATACTGGAGGACGGAGAAGGCGGTGACCTTAACACCTGGCTCCTCCCTGACCGTCGATCACAAATCGCTATCAAAACTGACCATACCAATGAGGAGAACAATGTTATAGAGTTTGACACCCCAGGTATCTACACATATAATACTCTGTAAAATCTGAGTGGTAGTCTTAGATAATGGTGTGAACTAGCCAGCTGCTGTCTGATATTTAGAGTTGAGATAAGGATACCGATCCTGTGGTATTGAATTTTCATTCAATTTATTTTCAAGAAATATCCTTTGTTGTAATAATTTTTATGAGAATTCATGATTGTGTTACAATATCTAACAAGCAAGGCGGATGAAATAATTTACATATAAGTATGAAATTTATTTATAGATAATCAAGTCAGAATAAAGCTACCTCAGTTTTAAGTTAAATAGTGTCCTATTGGAAATTATGTTGTCGAAATGTTTTTAAATAATCTGTCAGATCACAGAACTAATTGACCACAATAGTTGACTTTGGTTCTTGATCTCCGTAATTTTTTTATGATCAGTTTATATACATGGTGGATTCAATCAGCTGAATGTGAACAATGATTCTCTCTTGTAGACCTCCTTAAAAATCCTGGAATTACCATCTCTGTGGAGGACCATAACCTTAGTACGTTGTCTCTGGATGTCAAATTCATCACCAATGGCAGTGTCACTGTTCTCTTACGTACAAACGAGGGTAACCTGTTCCGAATACATTACATTCTCAGCAATACCACTATGACCTTAGAAGATCGTGACCTTTATTATGGCATCGGTTCCTCAAAGAAAGGGAAATGGACACATTTGACTCGTAAAGTGCTAATTGATTATGATAAAGGTCAGATTTTAAAAATTGCCAAAAGCAAAAGAGGCAAAGTGAAACTAACGCCTGCTAAAATCGTAGCTGTGTGTTTTCGTGGTCATGGCTTAGTAGACAATATCACATTATCATCTGAGGCTCACCTGGATCATTTTTTTGATGCAGCAAATTATCTTGTGAACTATCAGGATTCCAGAGGAGGGTGGCCTATACAAGTGACTCGTAAAATAATTCCAGGTAAATTGGAATTAAAGCCAGGCTGGTACTCAGCTATGGGTCAAGGACAGGCCATTTCTTTGTTAGTGCGGGCCTATAGTGTTACCAAAGACAACAAGTACTTGGACAGTGCTGCAAAGGCTCTTAATATCTTCGAAATTCCAAGCTCTGAAGGAGGAGTATTACAAAAATTTGCAAATACATATGACTGGTATGAGGAATATCCAACAACACCAGGTACTTTTGTATTAAATGGATTTATATATTCTCTGATTGGATTATATGATTTAAAGGTTGTGTCTTCTGGTCAGACAGCAGAACATGCTGCAAAGTTGTATAACGCCGGCTTACGGACGTTAAAAAATATGTTATTAATGTATGATAGTGGTACAGGGACGTTTTACGACCTGAAACACATTTCTCTGGGCGTGGCGCCCAACAGGGCACGGTGGGATTATCATACTGTTCATATCAATCAGCTTCTCTTACTAAGTCTCATTGACGACGATCCTCTGTTTGAAACAACGGCCCAACGATGGATGGGGTACCTCAAGGGGAAACTCTCACCTCATAACTGAAAATTGAAAATCTTTATATACTTCCTGTTTTGTTTATTTGATTCAATCAGTATTGAATAAATGGATGTCTGAAGAAGTGGATATTGATGAAACAATCTTGGATAGTTTTAAGAAACCAATTTCCAGAGAAATGAAGTCTTAAAAAATGAATATCATTTAACATGATAAACTTGGATATTTGGAAGAAACAAGTCTTCAGATAAATTGGTATCTAAAGAAATGGATGAGGATTATTTGGAAGAAACCAATTAATATGTAACAATTTGATATTTGTAAACAAGATATGTATACTCCATATTTGTCAAACAACTGTATTTTTTTGTTGTTTGTAAAACAACTAGATATCTGCCAAAGATAGATATACATTCTGTTTGTTAGGAAACTAGATTAATGTCAAAGACTTGTATACGCTATCTTCATATCAAATAATCTAAAATGTTTAATATTTTGTCAGTTCTTTCTAACTAAAGGGAATATATTAAATCAATGTACAGGATGATAGATAAGTGTGATATGTGACAATCTTTTTTTTATTACAACAGCTTTGTCACTTCAATGAAAGGAGACATGACACCTTACAGATATACTGATACATAGGACTTATTATAAAGCCTTTAATAGATTGATGTTACACAACACACAAATATACTAACAACTTTTTATCATCATGTATCAATATTGATGTTATATTGTTTGAAACTCTGAACTCGTATTATAGGAAATGTAACTGAATCAAACTATAAATCATCCCATTAAATAATTATAAAATGTTTGCTGCTTAATTGGTTTTCGTTGTACTGAATTTTTATTTGGTAATTATGCTAAAAACTACTTGTATACTCAAATTTGTATAAATGAATGTAACAACAAGAAAATGGATCTATATGTTTAAATTAGATTTCACTAGCCAATTTTGCTTTAAATTTAGTACTTTCATCAACACTATTTACACCTTGAAAAAATGAAGTTCAAGAACTCTTTAAGAAATTAAAAGTAATTAAGAATTGGTAATTTATTTCATGATAGAGTTATCTCCCTTCAGTTATCACATTTGATAGAATACTTAGTTCAATAACCATTTTCAAGACATTTTGATATTTTTTGGTTACACTATTGATGGTTAGATATAAATTGTAACTACTGACAGATTATTAACATTGAAGCATTATACTCTACTACTGATTTTTTATTCATTTACCATTTCAAGACATTTTTGTGGAAAGTTCTTTATTAATACTGCCAAATATTTTTTTTTTGTTTACAAAACTTATATACATGTGGAAATTATTCAGTTTTTCATTTGCTATTGTCAAAAAGGTATTCAATATGGCTACTTTTCATATTTGGTGCTGCAAGTTTTATCTTAAAATATTTTGTTGTACATATACGCCTAATTATACATCTACAAATGGATAGGAAAGATTTTAAAATTTTGTATCATTGGGTTTTTATTTGGTTGGAAAATGCTTGAGCAAAATTTCTAGCTTTGACTATATAATTTGCTTACGAATCATAAGACAGGTTGAGGGTGGGATGTGTGGTTGATTTCAGTAATCTATATCTTAATGAAATGATTCTAATCAAAGATCAATATGAATGCTCATAGATTTGTTTTATAGTTTTCCGTGTCAATAAGTTGTCAGTCCCATTCATTGCATTTCCAAATCTCCAAACACATGTAAAATACCCTTCTGATAATCTAACATTCCTGTTATTGTTTATCTCTTCTATAACACCAGTTAACCAGACAAGGTGACACAAGATTAGGTAACTGAAATTAATGTATACCATAGACTAGTAGTGATGAAAGAATTATTATACTACTCACATAATTAAACACATCAGGGTTACCTCCCCCTGAGTGAACATTTGTACAGATATTGAAACTAATACAAGTTTTTAAAAAGGGAAAGGGGAAAAAAGCAATGATAACTTACTAAATTTTGTTCCTATATTGTAATCATTGTTAACACAAATTGCAATGTTCTTTTGAACTTAAATATTTAGACCGTGATTTGTTTTTTGTTTGGCAAATTGGTTTTTTTTTTACACTACAATATGTAGAAGTAATAAATATTTTTGTCTCGTGAAAAGCGTGGATCTTATGAACTATAAAATAATGATCCAGGTTTGACTTAAATATAACAAGGTATTTTATTGTTCTTTTGTAGAAACTTCAAAATACTGTGATTTATCTTCAATCAGTTATATTTTTGTTGGTCATGATTATTATAAATATATAAATAAGGATTTATAAATAACTAACATTTTATCTAAGATATATCTCTTTACTGTGTACTTACTTTAATCATATCCTTAATTGGTTTGTTTGTAACACATCTGAAATCAAACCATCTCTCTTTTTTGTCAGAATCCTATCCTAAATGAGAAAATAAGGGTTTTTTTCACACATGTAAATCTGCAAGTTAGTTTTTTATGGGGTGATCAGGAAAACTTTCAGAATTCCAACTTCAAATTTTTAAGAATAGGAATTATTTTTAAGGTGTAAAATTGCATAAAATGCATGTTTAAAAAGATATGTACATACTTATTTTACCTATCATACTCAACTGATGAGGGATGAGGGCTTATAACCCAAATATCTGTGATGGCCGATTATAGTTATGTGGTTGTGATTATATTGATATATCTATATATCAGCTTTCTTTTGTTTCATTCTCAGCTGATGTATTGATAGTTATGGTGAGCGAGTTTATTTTTTGTGTGGAAGAAATGTTTATCATCCATACATACAAATGTCTGTGAAAGATATCATTCAATCAACATTAGTTAGGTATGTGTTTCATTGTTCTGTTAAATGTCTGCTCTGCTTCATATTTGTTTACCAGTACACAAGTCCTCATCTTTTATGTCGCTTTAAATATGATGAAGTGTTTCAGATATTAAGACAATCTTTTTGGATAATTACTGGTATACAGCTGTGTAGACATATTTTAGAGCAAAGTTGTACATTTTTCTTCATTGTTATAAAACTTCTGTGTATGACAACATTGCAATATGATTTTAAATTGACATACAGAATTATATTACATCTTTTTTGATACAGTATAGTTCTACAATGTTGTCTCACGATAGTAAAGCATTGTCAAACACTGTTATATATGTTACAGTGTGGTCATGCAATTTGTATTGTACACAATGTACTACAATATTGCAATAAGATGATGTTATACATGGTTATACAGTGATGTAATAAACCCTTGCCATACGATATTGTAATACAACATTGTTTAACAATGTATACCATAATGAAAAATGTGTATACATTTACAGGTATGAAATTAAGATTAGAATTTTATCCAGGTGTAGACAATTAAATTCTCACCTGTTACACATGTATATATTTGTATGATATATAGGTATATAAACTTGTTCCAGAACCAAAACATCATTCCATATTTTGTTACCGATTTTGTAGCTTAAAATTTTTACAATCAGTTTTCCGGAGTTAATTACTTACAATAAATCATAAATTCCAAAATTGCAAAATATTTAATTTAACTGTACATAATTTAGTCACTTACAAATTTAGGTTCACTTTACTGAAGTCAACAAACTTGGGTGCTGGAGATTTTGGAATAGTTCAATCTAAAGGAAGAAAAAATGGTTTTTAGTATAAAAGTCATGAAATTATATTTACCTGATAGACTATGCTAACCCTGGTTTAGTTTAGTGCTAAACTGAAGTATGATGTTGACTTGGTAGACTTAGTGTATCTTCTATCATGTATGAAATCTTCTGTAATTGTCATTAATTCAGAGAAAATACAATTACTCCAGGATAAAAGGATAATTATAGTACAAATAATTTGATACAAAAATGTTTGGAATTTTTTATAATCAAATACTATATTTAGAAGTATTATTGAAATCTTCACGAAAAGGTTGTGATTTAGTATATTTTCGGTAACATGTTCTGCTTTGGAGCAATAACTGCAGATATATGTTTTATGATGTTTGCTCCTGCCCTCGTAATTTTGATAATGTAATTCCCTAGCTGTAGATATGCTGATTAAGTGTTAGATATGTTATGTCATTGTTTAATTAAGCATCTGTCTTCTGTATCTTCATAGGGACTTTCTGTGTAGAATGTCATGTCATTTAGTCAATAAACCATGAAGGATGAAGGACTGGTATTACAGTAAACTGATATGGTTGGGCAGTTCTTTTGACTGCCATTACTTTATGTCATATAATTAAGTGCTACAGATAACTGTTACATGTTTGGGTATTTGGATAAGCATTGATGATAATTGTAAGGGATTTATTGAATAGGTTTTCATATTTTTAAATGATTTTACCCGAAATTCCATGAACTGCATTATTTTAATTTTTTTCAAAAGAATGTCGAAATATAAATGCATATATTTATGGCATCTTTAGGGGAATCTTGATATGATGAAAATTTATCTGTAATTTTGGGGGAAATCTGATGGGAAGGATCAAAATTAATCTGCTATTTTTTGTAGGAAATCAATATGAATGATGAAGATTAATCTAATTTTAAGGATAACTTGATGGGAACTAGGAAAATTAATCATTAATTTTTTAGCAAAACCTGATTGGAATGATGCAGTTGTAATAGTTATGCTTTTCATACCAAATTTTTGTGTTGGTAGGATTTTGAAATGGTTTGTACAAAATGGAAATGTAAATATTATCGTGTAACAAGAAGATGTGCTTATTTGTGATGCAATATCATATATTTTGTCAGCATTGATAAAGTGCTGTGTGTGTGTGTGCTTCATATGGTGTTGTATCATACAACGTGATGTATTAGTGAAGAATACATGTGTTTACTGGGTAGTAGGTGTAAAGTATGGGAGGGAGATCAAGGTTATAGGCTCACATGAGTGATGTTTGTATTGTGAGAATATGAGTAAATGCACTAATGTAATGTTGAGAGACCAAGGGTATGTAATTTCATATATGAATGCGATACATGTGAGATAAGGGAAGTGTTTTCAGCATGTGAGCTATCGAAGGTATACATGTATAGACAATGGAATGACAATGTGAATGCAAGAGGTTGTATGTTAGAATTGAGAAGGATGATGCCGTACAATTTGTGTGGAACAATATGCTTGAAAGTGGATCATTGCTATATCAAAGGATCTCGTGGAGATTATTAATAACAAAAATTAAAAAATGCAAATAACTGGAAAAAAATTAATAAAACATGATTCCAAGAATTTTCCTGTTTGTAGCTTATTGATGAGAAAATTTTAACATCTTCAATCGCTGCTTTGATAAATCTAAACAAAGCTCTTGTGAATCTGATAAAAAAAATCGATGTTCAGATTAACTCTGTGTAAACCTAATTAATGTGAACATCAAATTTTAATTAGACTTAGTTCTTGTGTCCTCCAAAGGATCATAGCTGGTTCACTGGTTATTCGGATTCATAAAGTGATAAAACCATCTCTCAAGGTCCATTTAGGTGCATTTATACATGGATTAACAAGTTCTGTATATTAAAGGTCAGTAAAGTATTACAATGATAGGTGGATTAACAAGTTCTGTATGTTAAAGGTCAGTAAAGTATTATATTGATAGGTGGATTAACAAGTTCTGTATGTTAAAGATCAGTAAAGTATTACAATGATAGGTGGATTAACAAGTTCTGTATATTAAAGGTCAGTAAAGTATTACAATGATAGGTGGATTAACAAGTTTTGTATGTTAAAGGTCAGTAAAGTATTACAATGATAGGTGGATTAACAAGTTCTGTATGTTGAAGGTCAGTAAAGTATTACAATGATAGGTGGATTAACAAGTTCTGTATATTAAAGGTCAGTAAAGTATTACAATGATAGGTGGATTAACAAGTTTTGTATGTTAAAGGTCAGTCAATTATTTCAATGACAGGTGGATTAACAAATTCTGTATGTTAAAGGTCAGTCAATTATTACACTAATAGGTGGATTAACAAGTTCTGTATGTTAAAGATCAGTAAAGTATTACAATGATAGGTGGATTAACAAGTTCTGTATGTTAAAGATCAGTAAAGTATTACAATGATAGGTGGATTAACAAGTTCTGTATGTTAAAGGTCAGTAAAGTATTACATTGATAGGTGGATTAACAAGTTCTGTATGTTAAAGGTCAGTAAAGTGTTACAATGATAGGTGGATTAACAAGTTCTGTATGTTAAAGGTCAGTAAAGTGTTACAATGATAGGTGGATTAACAAGTTCTGTATGTTAAAGGTCAGTCAATTATTACACTAATAGGTGGATTAACAAGTTCTGTATGTTTAAGGTCAGTAAAGTGTTACAATGATAGGTGGATTAACAAGTTTTGTATGTTAAAGGTCAGTCAATTATTTCAATGACAGGTGGATTAACAAATTCTGTATGTTAAAGGTCAGTCAATTATTACACTAATAGGTGGATTAACAAGTTCTGTATGTTAAAGATCAGTAAAGTATTACAATGATAGGTGGATTAACAAGTTCTGTATGTTAAAGATCAGTAAAGTATCACAATGATAGGTGGATTAACAAGTTCTGTATGTTAAAGGTCAGTAAAGTATTACATTGATAGGTGGATTAACAAGTTCTGTATGTTAAAGGTCAGTAAAGTGTTACAATGATAGGTGGATTAACAAGTTCTGTATGTTAAAGGTCAGTCAATTATTACACTAATAGGTGGATTAACAAGTTTTATATGTTAATGGTCAGTAAAGTATTACAACGATAGGTGGATTAACAAGGTCAACAATTGTCAGAAATTCAATCAGCAAGTAGTCTAATACACATTCTTGGTCCTCGTCAAGTGTTGAGCTTACTGCTGTGCTGACACATTGAATCAAAGGGAAGTAACTCTGGGAGATGAGAATGTCTACTACAAAGAGCAACCTGGAAAATGTGCTTTAAGGTGTAGATAGCGGATCCATATAGTTTTCTGAGACCAGATAATCTCCATAATGAGATATCAAAACATCTGTCATAAGAAATCATCATCATATCAGCTCAATAGAAACAAATGGTTGTTGAAGACCGGCTAAATACTTTTATACACAATAAATAAACCAAAACACTGCTGCTGGCATGAAATTTTTTATGTCTTTCAAAACAAGCATTTCATCAGCAATTCAATGACTAATAGTAACACTCTGGAGTCAAGTATTCTGTTCCTTAACTTTGTCTTCATGGAAAACTTTCAAATGTTAATTCAAAATACAAAAACGAAAAAGATAATGCTACAATAACTTCACACCCAGATCATATGACCAGATTTCTGTTTTAATATGTAACGAGATTCAAAGATATACCCATAGCACTCCTGCTCCTAACTACAACATTTAATCTCAACACCAAATAAAACCACAGAGTCAAGAAACATTTCTCACAAAACATTGTGTGTACTAATCTATTTACAATAAATGTATCGAATTCCTGTGAGGAAAATGGCACCAACATTGATTAACCAGGTTAACTTTTTTACAAATATTTACAGGTCGTCTACACTGAGAACCTCGTTCTAACAGATGTTGAATACTTGATTTTAGTATCATATGAGCAACAGAGTCACTTTATCACAAATATTTACACTGAGAACCTAGTTCTAAAAGGGACTGATGTTTTACTGGAATAGTCCTAAACCAAAACCTGTAGTCCTGGGGTGGGACATGTGTTTTACTGGGATAGCCCTAACTGTTGTATCCAGGATAATATTCTGGAACCATTGATTGGAGAAAACAACATCTGTTAGAACAAAATCAGTATATGGAGTCAAAATATTATGCTTTTAAGAATGAAAAAATGCTCTTTCTACCACCAGGCAGATGTAACTACAGACATAACTTCCCATTTCTAAGGATACTCATCTCTAAGCATACTCATCTCACAAATAACATACAACACAAGCATATCAAACGAGACTTAACAAACAAGCTCTTAAAATACTCATCTCACACACAACATTTGATGCAAGCAAATCAAACAAGACCTAACAAATAGTCTTATTTCATCAGTAGAAGAGTGTCACATGACCTTCATAAAATCTAGTAGTCTATGATGTTATGGTTTAAGTAAAATGATAAATTTTCTTTTCTTTCCTGCATCATATTTACTCTTGCAAGACTAAAATAAGGTCACATTATGAAATTTCTTGACATGTCAGAAAATTTTCCCTTCTGCACTGATTTTATTTTGTCTTTCGAGCTGGGGAATCCATCCCTTATTGTGTTACATGCAGTGCATAAAAAACTGTTCCGCAACAGACATCTAAAAGTCTTGCATGAGGCGCTCCCCTATGTAACAATCATAGCTACTCAAGTTTACTCAATTGCACAACAAATACAACTACATGAACAATAGGTAGCAATTTTTCTGCACTAGTAGTACAGTTAGTCTGTAAGTTTTCATTTACTAAAAGTCAGATCAAATACTAAACAATATTATAAAAAAACTTCTCACATACATGTTTTCAGCAGAATTATATTTGCTGGAGTTAGTGAAAGATTCTTCCATAGACAAAACACTTCATCACACTCATAAAGCAATTCCAGCAAAACATTTACCAAGGTATTTGACCCATTGATTCCAAAACAAATATCCATGGTTCTACTTCTTGCCTATTACTTAAAAGTTAAGTATCAATCTAACTTTATAAGAAGTACTTGTACCCCTATGCAAAACTCTGGGTTAGGAAAGATGTTTTACTGGATTAACTCTTAAAATGAAACAATATTTAACACAAACAATCATGATGAATTGGCTTGAAGAGCAGATGTTGATAGAGACAGACTTGGTAACTATAAAATTACTGTTTACACATCGCAATTAATAGATTTTCAACAGATAACAGTTTAAATATCTAACACACTGGAAGGGATTGAAATAGACTTCAGTTAACACACAGAAGAAGTATGGATAACAAATTTTATCCTAAGGGCTGAGACACTTTGTTCCTCTAATGCAAGCCAGGATCTTTTGCTTTCCAACTTGACCCTTACTAACCCAAAACAGTAACAGAAACAATTAATGAGGAATATCTTAACCACTGATATACATGTTAAAAATGATAATTACAGAAATGGTTCACTTTCAATATTGTAACATGACCCTGAAAACTCTCATACATTATTTAACTGTTAAGTGATTAGCACTATTACCTGCTGGTAGAGCCAGGACCGAGTCCTTAGCTAAAACAAAAAGTATAAATCAATCCTCGCACAGCATACACCTAAAACACTGCAAACACCTATCCACACACAGTATCCTCAAACAGGGCGTAAACAAATTTAGATACAATGTTGAGACAAAATTTAAATACCACAAACTACTATCATAATATGAATCAATTATGTCTAAATTAATTTGTTCATAGACCAACTTTGTTATCTTGAAGCCGACATGATCCTGAAAACTTTGGGGTTATGTATTTGAGTTTACCATCACTAAGATAGAGCGATTATTTTATCAGGACCAGAGAAACACTGAATTAAACGGAGACCTCGAGTTATCAGAGTTTGAGATAGTGAAGTTGGACTGTAAACAAATTAACTAGCATGTTTTTAAATCCTTCAGAAGTTGTGCTTTTATTTGATGTCTGAGAACACCACATAACATTGGTCAAAATAACAAATATGTAAGTCAGGGATCTCCTTTCTAAAAAATTGGACATTATAATCAAATTATAATAATGACAACATCTGCTAGCAAATAAATAAACCACCAACGTTCATTACTATTCATCTTTCTGGAAGGCTAGATGCAGAGAAACTGGAGGGCTATGTCCAAAGTGATTTACTCGTTAAAATTTAAAACGAAAAAAAAAAGTCTAAGTTTAAATTATTGTATGAAAAACAGCTATAATTTAGCAGTAGAGATAGAATCGGCTCCGGCAAACATTTATTTGAGAAGAAATATCATACTAGCGCTCTTTGCACTAATTAAGTGGCTCTAAAATATCATAGTGGTACTGGGCTTTCTGTATGTTAATAAAAAAGCAATTATTGTGATTATATGAATTCCTCGTCTTTATATGTTAAAAACTGATATTACTCTAAAATTTGATTGCACCAAAGTAAGTATTTTTACGTTATGTTGAGAGATTGATGAGGAAATAATTTTCCCAATTAACACTCATGCTTAACAATCTGTTAATTATACACTTTTTTATCAATTGAAACAATACAGACCTGACTTGACTCCAAAGCGTTACAAAAGACATAACTAAGCTGTACATTTCACATCACCGGAGATCTTTTGTCTTATATGAACAGAATGTTGACACCAATCATAATTATCAAGACAAAATCTGGCTGTCTCCTGAGTTTGTAGGACATTACGCAGTTTAAAAAGTTAAGCCAAGATTTTTTATATCACATTTCCAGGTCGTTAAGTTTTCCGATGACCTCATCAATCCAAAGCCATCCAAGATCTGTTGTAAGCTACACACAAAGGCCTCTAATGTTTCCATGCATGGTTCACTAGGTCTTCTACAAGTCTCCTCTTCAAAATGGACTTCAAATGTTCTGGTGATTCTCCATCAAAAGCTGCTGTGTGTGGTTTGTCATACAAAATTACACACTTCTTTAAGAACAACCTAATCACTCATCAATTTCCACATGACTGATGTCCTAGAAAATCATCCCATACAACTTAATATGACCTAACTTTAACATAGTTAGACAGTCTATAATAAAGTGAATTAAATAGATACAGACTATTCTACACCCACATAACTTCATAATAACTTGTAAATGTGATAAAAACTATGGTTAATAACATCAGCTGTTTGCATTTCCAGGATATCAGCCAAATTTCCAACTATGCTAAATACATCATATCAATTTGAACAGTGACGAGGGGATACAAAGCTTGTACAGGAACTTAGGGGAATGCAAATTGATACAAAATATATAATTAAAATGTTTATTTATCATGGAATCTCTGTCAATAAACATTCTCTCACTCTAAACAATAACAAAACATCAATAAATATACGTCAGTTGTTGTCTTTCTGATGATTTAGTATGGGTAACGGAATTTGTCACCAGCAAACTTGGCATTGGCACCAAGTTCCTCCTCTATGCGAAGAATCTGGTTATACTTGGCCAATCTCTCGGACCTACAGGGAGCTCCAGTCTTTATCTGTAAAGTCAATAATCACACAATCAGGGAATTGTTCTATGACCAATTATCTGTTTGTAGACTTAACTTCCCATCAACAGAAAGTGTCATTTTTAAAAGGGTCCCCTTGTAATGGCTACCTCACTGAGCAGCATACAGTAGGCCTGTAGCAAGCCATTCAAAGCAATTAGCCAAATGACACAATCACAACACAGACAATTCATTTCTCAGCAGCCGGAGAAACACAAACTGCCAAGGGTAGGGAGTGTAGAACTATGCATGTTGGGTCTTCATTGAATTAAGCTTGCTTTAAAGATCAAAAGTAATCCAGAGAACTGATTGATATGGTCAATGTTTTGTAAAGTACACATCAGATACATCTCTAAAATAAATATGACCTGATAAACTCTATTAAAGAGTGAATGAGACCTCTTGTGATAGACTCTCTACTGAAAAGTGAATTGGACGTCTCCAGATAACTCCACACCAGGAGCAAATTAGATATCTCTGATAAATTCTAAAAACTTGTCATTCCTTCCAGTTTTAGTGAGCTTTTTGTACTGACCAACAGAATTTCCTGTTGGAGGTAAAACTCCCGTTTTTTTGCCTTTGATCCAAGTCCTAATAGACAGCCATGGCTACAGAATTGTAGAAGATAACCTAAATCAAACTAATTCGGGGATTAACTGAAAGACGTTCAATCATTATCATAATCTAAGTAAAGATTAATTTAATCCTAATATAAGTTAAGAATTCTTACATCTTTATTCTAGAAAAAGTCATACTGACAGAAAAGTAACCAAACATTTTTACCTGTCCTGTACACAGACCAACCACAAGGTCAGCGATGAATGTATCTTCTGTTTCACCACTCCTATGTGAGACCATCACGCCCCATCCCTCTTTCTTGGACATTTCCCACCTGATGTAGCAAGGTAAGATACATTATCAACTCATGAAAACATGTAGGTAGACCTGGTTTAATCAAACTTAAATTTCTAAACACGATTCTATTTCTTTTCATTGACTTTGTAATGCTGCTGGAACATCTAAATAGAATTATTTCTCTACCAAGAGTTCAGGTTTATAATGTGTAAAAAAAAAGTTCAAAAAGAGAGCCTCATAATAAAAGCTTTGCCCATCAAACAAATACCTGCATATCGAAAAGATTTTTGTTATTTGTAATTTATCTCTCAGTAAAAGGTGAAGATTCCCCCTTACTCTGTCAATAAAAGCTTACCAGACACAACTGTTTTCACGAAAATGAATTTTTGTTCTTTTTCTTTTTTTGTAAGCAATCAAGGTGATTTAAGGTTTTAGAAGCAATGCTCATGGTTTGCAATTTATCCTTATCAAGATGAAATCACATGACTGGTCATGTGCAGCCAGGCAGAGAGACAGAAAGAGAAGGCTCCATTACTACATTTTCATCCTATACGGACAGGTGATTCAATGATCAGAGGACCTGATTCAACAGTGGAAAAAAAACTCACTCTGTATCCTTAATCAAGGTGTAGAAACTTGATGTTATGATACAAAAGAGTAAATATGAACCAAATTTGATGAAAGATTCTCAAGATATATTAATTCAGGACAGAAACATAATAAAGCACTCCTCCCCATATAAAAGATTCAGCTTTGACAACTTACGCCTTGATGGATTCCATGACACTTCCGATCTGGTTGACCTTGAGTAAGAGTGCGTTACAGGCCTTCTTATCGATGCCATCCTGGACACGCTTTGGGTTGGTCACAAGCAAGTCATCACTGTAAAAAACATGCTTAGTTTTATCTTATGTTTCTAATAAATGATACATCGATGCCAAGAACATCAATTATTTTTCATTATTTCAAGAATAGTCATGTTGTACAAAAACATATTGAACAAGACATCACTGTAGTGCTGTATAGCAAACAAAGCCTATCAGCAGAACAATGTTAATTTGAAGCCTGGTTTACATCAATGATTAGTCTAATTAGTACAGTAATCAGGGAAACACCTGCCAACACTTCATCATTTTTTCTTTTTCCTTTACAAAAAAAAAAAGCCCCAGACTTAAATTCACCGTTATAAGCATGAATCATATCTTAAGCACAAACATAAAAATCCAGCCGATCTTTTATTTTCACTCTACTGGCAAAGAAAGTGTCCCTGTAAACAAAAGATTTCATGACCTATAGGTTAAATAATAACTTGAAGTTTGCCTCATTCTTACCCAACAATTTGGATTTCTTTACCAACAGCTTCAGTCATCTTTGTGTATGCTTCCCAATCATCTTGGTCAAATGGATCCTCAATGGATACAACAGGGAAGTCTTTGATGAATCCCTTGTACACATCTGTCAATTGATCAGAGCTAATCTGAAAACACATAACATATATTATTGTATGCTGTAATGCTACAGGATAGATAAAGAGCACTACCAATTCTATACCGAGTCTGACAAACAAGTGAGGAGGGGAATGAGTCTGACAAACAAGTGAGGAGGGGGAATGAGTTTGACAAACAAGTGAGGAGGGGGAATGAGTCTGACAAACAAGTGAGGAGGGGGAATGAGTCTGACAAACAAGTGAGGAGGGGGAATGAGTTTGACAAACAAGTGAGGAGGGGGAATGAGTCTGACAAACAAGTGAGGAGGGGGAATGAGTCTGACAAACAAGTGAGGAGGGGGAATGAGTCTGACAAACAAGTGAGGAAGGGGAATGAGTCTGACAAACAAGTGAGGAGGGGGAATGAGTCTGACAAACAAGTGAGGAGGGGAAATGAGTCTGACAAACAAGTGAGGAGGGGGAATGAGTCTGACAAACAAGTGAGGAGGGGAAATGAGTCTGACAAACAAGTGAGGAGGGGGAATGAGTCTGACAAACAAGTGAGGAGGGGGAATGAGTCTGACAAACAAGTGAGGAGGGGGAATGAGTCTGACAAACAAGTGAGGAGGGGGAATGAGTCTGACAAACAAGTGAGGAGGGGGAATGAGTCTGACAAACAAGTGAGGAGGGGAAATGAGTCTGACAAACAAGTGAGGAGGGGAAATGAGTCTGACAAACAAGTGAGGAGGGGAAATGAGTCTGACAAACAAGTGAGGAGGGGAAATGAGTCTGACAAACAAGTGAGGAGGGGAAATGAGTCTGACAAACAAGTGAGGAGGGGAAATGAGTCCGACAAACAAGTGAGGAGGGAGAAGAGTGTCAGCTATGTTGATTCTTTCATACGTCAGATTTATTTCATTGATGGTAATTAAATAACAGGTAATTAAGGACTTACCAGACGTCCCTTAAAGCTGTTTTATTACAATATAGGTAATTAAGGGCTTACCAGACGTCCCTTAAAGCTGTTTTATTACAATATAGGTAATTAAGGGCTTACCAGACGTCCTTTAAAGCTGTTTCATTACAATAATCTACAGTGATTTAAGAACTTACCATAGTCTAATATATTAACGTTATAAAGAAATATAAACTTACTTTTAGTTTGTCATCACCATCCTTGGTCTTAAAGTCAAGGTCATATTTGCCATCCTTGAAAAACTCAGAGGCAGCTACATCCATGCCAATTTTGACCTTGCCAGTATAGCCAGCCTTTTCAATAGCATCAGTCAGTAGATTCAGTCCTGTTCACATTTAATAAAAAAAACATATCATACCAACAGTATGTATCTTGACCAGAAACAGTAAGTTTGGTTAATGCTGAATGGGAAGGCAGTCAGGAAATCATATTTTTTTTACACATTAAAAATAGACAAAGTGCAATAACTATGAAAATACACAACCACAAAAAATTAAATAATCGTAAATAAAATACTGTCAAACTTTGATGTTTCCAAATTCAAAGGACTGGCAAAAAAACTTTGATACATCAAGACTTTGAATCATTCCTGGTAGGCTACATCCAGCTCAAGGTTCATTAAAATTGTAGGATTAGTAAAGGGGTTAGTTAGTAGAATTGATATTGATAAAATTCCGGACTAGGCAAAAATTTTGAATCACCAAAGTTAGATTAAAAGAAGTTTGACTTCAGCAAGTGAAGTAACTCTATGAATATCTTTTATATAAGTATTTCCCAGTCCCAGTATCCTTCAAAGTTAGTTAGGAACTAGGTGCCATGCATAAATTACCCAGACACAAAGAAACAACCTGTAAGGAATGATATTTTTGTATCTACACACCTGAGTGAAATTCAAACTATGTAGAAATTTTCTTTCAATGACAATTTTCTATCGTTTGTCTCCAAATACTGCTACAGCTGTGTTTGATACCTGTTCATTTAACAATGGCAGGAGTAAAGAAACTTTCCTTTTAATTGAAGTCTCTAATGAATGTGGATGCCATTTTGGATTAAAATACTCATTGAAAGGAAGATGGACATGTAATAGTTATCATTTATTTCAATGCCTTCACTAAGATTAAAACTCAGGAGACCTCTGACTTACAAGTCTAATGCTCAACCGATTAAGCTAAAGAGAAGTTCTCTGCTGCTGAGCAGTATATTGTGGTTAGTATTTTGCAAGGGTAACATACTCCCCCTCAAGGAAATAACACATCCTCAAGTTTCCAGGGGTTACATCCAAGTCTGCGGGACAATGCTAAGTATATTCCTAAGTGGCTAGTATTTGCCAGGGTTACAAACTCACCCTGGAGTTTCCAGGGGTTACATTGAAGTCTGCCGGACAATGCTAAGTATATTCCTAAGTGGCTAGTATTTGCCAGGGTTACAAACTCACCCTGGAGTTTCCAGGGGTTACATTGAAGTCTGCGGGACAATGCTAAGTATATTCCTAAGTGGCTAGTATTTGCCAGGGTTACAAACTCACCCTGGAGTTTCCAGGGGTTACATTGAAGTCTGCGGGACAATGCTAAGTATATTCCTAAGTGGCTAGTATTTGCCAGGGTTACAAACTCACCCTGGAGTTTCCAGGGGTTACATTGAAGTCTGCGGGACAATGCTAAGTATATTCCTAAGTGGCTAGTATTTGCCAGGGTTACAATCTCACCCTGGAGTTTCCAGGGGTTACATTGAAGTCTGCGGGACAATGCTAAGTATATTCCTAAGTGGCTAGTATTTGCCAGGGTTACAAACTCACCCTTGAGTTTCCAGGGGTTACATTGAAGTCTGCGGGACAATGCTAAGTATATTCCTAAGTGGCTAGTATTTGCCAGGGTTACAAACTCACCCTGGAGTTTCCAGGGGTTACATTGAAGTCTGCGGGACAATGCTAAGTATATTCCTAAGTGGCTAGTATTTGCCAGGGTTACAATCTCACCCTGGAGTTTCCAGGGGTTACATTGAAGTCTGCGGGACAATGCTAAGTATATTCCTAAGTGGCTAGTATTTGCCAGGGTTACAAACTCACCCTTGAGTTTCCAGGGGTTACATTGAAGTCTGCGGGACAATGCTAAGTATATTCCTAAGTGGCTAGTATTTGCCAGGGTTACAAACTCACCCTGGAGTTTCCAGGGGTTACATTGAAGTCTGCGGGACAATGCTAAGTATATTCCTAAGTGGCTAGTATTTGCCAGGGTTACAAACTCACCCTGGAGTTTCCAGGGGTTACATTGAAGTCTGCGGGACAATGCTAAGTATATTCCTAAGTGGCTAGTATTTGTCTGGTCACAGACATTTCTAATTACTATGACATTCATACTTCATACCTTCTTCATTTTCTAGAATGTTGGGAGCAAAACCACCTTCATCTCCAACATTGCATGCTGTCAATAAAAGTCATAAAATATAAATTCTAACGGTAAAAAAAACGCTGTATTATCAGTGAGTTCATACACAGTAGTTATCCCTATAATAAAAAAACAGGCAGAAATTTTCTTGATATATCATTATCTAACAGTTATATAACTAGTAATGCTAGGGCTCAAGTTGATGATTTTTAGACTAACAATCATCATATCTCAAATATTAACATATATAACCGTCTCATTATTTTTTCTTTCTTTTTTGTTGACTAGTTTTTCATTTTAATTCACATTTTTGTATTTTACACAAGAGTGTTTATAGACATAAATCACAACTAAAAAGCAAGTGTTATTCAATGTGATTTCATTCTGATATAGGGACCTTACCATCCTGTCCATACTTGGCTTTGATAACAGCCTTTAGATGGTGATAGGTCTCTGAGCCCATCTTCATCGCCTCCTTAAAGGAACTTGCTCCTACAACAGAACACATAAATCATCTACAATGTATATCTATTTAGAATTGTGTATCACAGTCAATGACATATCTTATATTTCACATGTAACATGACCCATTTCCCTTTAGAATATATATAGATCGTACACTGATTTTTTATTTTTTGAAGTGGTTAAGTGTGACTTTTCACCCTTTGAGTGATGACTACAAAAATTTTACCACTACTTTATCTTTCTATATAGCACGGATAAGAACATGAGAACATGATAGAGAAAAACATATTAAAAGTATTTACACCGCACATAAATCCTTTACTTGTTAAGGTATAAGACTATTGTTGGTGCGTTCAATAGTATGCCAATCGTGTTCAGTTTTCACTGCACCGAGGTATTTGGGCTTTTGATGAGTAATGAAACTGGTCAGGTTTTACGATGGAGCAATATGGTTGCCACACTAATGCAAAGTTGTTTTATTTTGCCGGGCTAATACAACATAGGCGTCCCATTTTGGGCTAGTTCACAAGGATCAAATTTCACACATGTCTATTGATACATGTAAACTCACTAATAAGAGTAATTCATTATTTGACTTGATGCTTAATTTCTACTTTGTACTTAACAGGGCACTATCCTTAATGACCGTGAGTAGAACAAAAGTAAATCCCAGACAAATAACCAACCTGTGACGAGTAACAATTAAGTAATGAAACCATCAGGTTTAACAGTAGAACAATACAGTTCACACACTATACAGACAGCATGGCTGTGGATTACCTACCTGTCAGGTTTAACAATAGAACAATACAGTTCACACACTATACAGACAGCATGGCTGTGGATTACCTCCCTGTCAGGTTTAACAGTAGAACAATACAGTTCACACACTATACAGACAGCATGGCTGTGGATTATCTCCCTGTCAGATTTAACAGTGAAATAATACACCACACTATACAGACAGCATGGTTGTGGGTTACCTCCCTGTCAGGTTTAACAGTACAACAATACACCACACTATACAGACAGCATGGCTGCGGATTACCTCCTTGTCAGGTTTAACAGTACAACAATACACCACACTATACAGACAGCATGGCTGCGGATTACCTCCCTGTCAGATTTAACAGTGAAATAATACACCACACTATACAGACAGCATGGTTGTAGATTACCTCCCTGTCAGGTTTAACAGTAGAACAATACACCACACTATACAGACAGCATGGCTGTGGGTTACCTCCCTGTCAGGTTTAACAGTACAACAATACACCACACTATACAGACAGCATGGCTGTGGATTACCTCCCTGTCAGGTTTAACAGTACAACAATAGTTCCCACACTATACAGACAGCATGGCTGTCAGGTTTAACAGTACAACAATAGTTCCCACACTATACAGACAGCATGGCTCCCTGTCAGGTTTAACAGTACAACAATAGTTCCCACACTATACAAACAGCATGGCTGTGTCCTATCTCCCTGTCATTTTGTACAATTCACCACACTATAAAGACATCATGGCTGTGTCCTACCTCCCTGTCAGGTTTAACAGTACAACAATTCACCACACTATAAAGACATCATGGCTGTGTCTTACCTCCCTGTCAGGTTAAACATTAGTGCAAAACAGTTCCCACACTATACAGACAGCATGGCTGTGTCTTACCTCCCTGTCAGGTTTAACAGTACCACAATACACCACACTATACAGACAGCATGGCTGTGGATTACCTCCCTGTCAGGTTTTGCAACAATACACCACACTATACAGACAGCATGGCAACCTCCCTGTCAGGTTTAACATACAATAGTTCCCACACTATACAGACAGCATAGCTGTGGATTACCTCCCTGTCAGGTTTAACAGTGCAACAATACACCACACTATACAGACAGCATGGCTGTGGATTACCTCCCTGTCAGGTTTAACAGTACAACAATACACCACACTATACAGACAGCATGGCTGTGGATTACCTCCTTGTCAGGTTTAACAGTGCAACAATACACCACACTATACAGACAGCATGGCTGTGGATTACCTCCCTGTCAGGTTTAACAGTGCAACAATACACCACACTATACAGACAGCATGGCTGTGTCTTACCTCCCTGTCAGGTTTAACAGTACAACAATAGTTCCCACACTATACAGACAGCATGGCTGTGGATTACCTCCCTGTCAGGTTTAACAGTACAACAATAGTTCCCACACTATACAGACAGCATGGCTGTGGATTACCTCCCTGTCAGGTTTAACAGTACAACAATAGTTCCCACACTATACAAACAGCATGGCTGTGTCCTATCTCCCTGTCATTTTGTACAGTTCCCACACTATACAGACAGCATGGCTGTGGATTACCTCCCTGTCAGGTTTAACAGTACAACAATACACCACACTATACAGACAGCATGGCTGTGTCTTACCTCCCTGTCAGGTTTAACAGTACAACAATAGTTCCCACACTATACAGACAGCATGGTTGTAGATTACCTCCCTGTCAGGTTTAATAGTGCAACAATACACCACACTATACAGACAGCATGGCTGTGGATTACCTCCCTGTCAGGTTTAACAGTGCAACAATACACCACACTATACAGACAGCATGGCTGTGGATTACCTCCCTGTCAGGTTTAACAGTACAACAATAGTTCCCACACTATACAGACAGCATAGCTGTGGATTACCTCCCTGTCAGGTTTAACAGTGCAACAATACACCACACTATACAGACAGCATGGCTGTGGATTACCTCCCTGTCAGGTTTAACAGTACAACAATACACCACACTATACAGACAGCATGGCTGTGGATTACCTCCTTGTCAGGTTTAACAGTGCAACAATACACCACACTATACAGACAGCATGGCTGTGGATTACCTCCCTGTCAGGTTTAACAGTGCAACAATACACCACACTATACAGACAGCATGGCTGTGTATTACCTCCCTGTCAGGTTTAACAGTACAACAATAGTTCCCACACTATACAGACAGCATGGTTGTGGATTACCTCCCTGTCAGGTTTAACAGTACCACAATACACCACACTATACAGACAGCATGGCTGTGTCTTACCTCCCTGTCATTTGTACATTTGCATTTGATGAAAAGAAAATGGTTCTTTCAAACTTTATTTTACAACAACTATGAACTCAGTTTTAAGCTAGTATTAATCACTCTTATTGGACTAGATGGAAGCATGGGAGAAGTCTTACTGTGGGAGGAAACCAGAATACCTGGAGGAAACACACATGGCTGGGAAGGTGACCCCATAACCTTTCACTTCGGGGCTGGGAATCAAAGTGTTTTACCACTGCTCCATCCCAGCACCCAGAAAATGATTGCATGGTCTTAGTGATAATTATAACATATTTATCTGTATTCTTTTGTCTTTTTACTTATATGGTAATGTAAATATGAAGCTACTGAATGATGTCAAAGTTGGAAATGTATCAAAGCATTAGTCATTCCCTGCTCAAAGCCAGAAGATACCTGTTTCACTTTTTACCTGTAGGAAGAATCATAAACTCCTGCATGGCTAGTTTGTTGCCAGCATGGGATCCACCATTGATAACATTGAGGGCAGGGACAGGTAAGATCACTTCCTTGTTTCCTGCTAGGTCAGCAATGTGGCGATACAGAGGAACTCCCTGTGAGGAATAATTTTATAATGACTTCACATTCTATGTATCACTAAATTTGTTTCGAGGGACATAAAATTCTTTCCAGAACTAAAAATTGTGTTTCCAAACGACAGAGTATGCGTTCTCTAACAACCTTATCAAGATCATGGATATTCAGACTACTAACATTTGGAAAATTTCCAGATGTTTCTGAATTCTATTGCTATTCTCATGCCATCAATCTTAAAATCTTTTAAAATCTAAAAAGGATGCAAACCAGGATGTATGATTTTAGTCTTGAATACAATGTTACCTTTGCAGCAGATCCAGCTCGACACACAGCCAATGATACACCAAGGATAGCATTAGCTCCAAATTGTGCTATTTTCCAAAAGAAACCATTAACCATGATCAACAGAAGTAATTATAATATCTGATGAATCCTAATTTGCATCTAAGGCATTCAAAATTAGCAAAACAGTCAACTACATTAAATCATACTACAGAAATATTTGTAAATGTGTGTATAAGCAAATGCAATGTCTACAGATGTATGAAAATAACCTGATTTTGAAGATGGTTTATTGCTTTTGACTGTACTCAAGGACTTTGTTTACATACTGGGTTTAAAACTAAATATTCAATGTGTGTGATTAGGGAAGCCTGCCTCATGCCATCCAGAGCCAGTCATTTAGAGATGTGTGTGATTAGGGAGGCCTGCTGCATGCTATTCAGTCAGTCATTTAGAGATGTGTGTGATTAGGGAAGCCTGCCTCATGCTATCCAGTCAGTCATTAAGAGATGTGTGTGATTAGGGAAGCCTGCCTCATGCTATCCAGTCAGTCATTTAGAGATGTGTGTGATTAGGGAAGCCTGACTCATGCTATACAGAACCAGTCATTTAGAGATGTGTGTAATTAGGGAGGCCTGACTCCTGCTATCCAGTCAGTCATTTAGAGATGTGTGTGATTAGGGAGTCCTGCCTCATGCTATCCAGTCAGTCATTAAGAGATGTGTGTGATTAGGGAAGCCTGCCTCATGCTATCCAGTCAGTCATTTAGAGATGTGTGTGATTAGGGAGGCCCGACTCATGCTATCTAGAGCCAGTCATTTAGAGATGTGTGTAATTAGGGAGGCCTGCCTCATGCTATCCATTCAGTCATTTAGAGATGTGTGTGATAAGGGAGGCCTGCCCTCATGCTATCCATTCAGTCATTTAGAGAGGTGTGATTAGGGAGGCCTGACTCATGCTATCCAGTCAGTCATTTAGAGATGTGTGTGATTAGGGAGGCCTGCCTCATGCTATCTAGAGCCAGTCATTTAGAGATGTGTGTGATTAGGGAGGCCTGCCGCATGCTATTCAGTCAGTCATTTAGAGATGTGTGTGATTAGGGAGGCCTGCCTCATGCTATCCAAAGTCATTAGGGTAATGTGTCCTTCTCGAGGACACAATCAAGACAGCACAGATAGGTCAGTTTCTAAACTCCTTGAGTACTACAAACCATTCTGAGTTGAGATTGCACCACACAACTTATGTTTTCACCTGAGAATGCATTGCTTAACACTTTACAGACTGAGTTATTGAAGACTTATTTTGACTACAGTTACTCTGTCTTGGGTGAAAATGTTCTAATTCATTGGACCTACCTGTAGAATGAAGAGTGGATCATTTTATTGTTGGAAAGGAACAAACGATTAGGCATATAGACCAGGCATACTTACACTTTGATTCAGTACCATCCAAATCAATCAGAAACTTATCCACCGCAAATTGATCTTTCACATCATGTTTTGCCTGGAAAGTGGAAAAAAAGGCGTTTTGTTAAATGTTGGTCAGGGCAATAACAACTGAAGCAAAGATTAAAACAAGCTGAAGCTACAAAAAGTAAGATTATCATTCACCTTCAGAGTTTATACTCTTTATACTCTTCAGTAGATATTATTCACCTTCAGAGTTGATACTCTTCAGTAGATATTATTCACCTTCAGAGTTTATACTCTTCAGTAGATATCATTCACCTTCAGCGTTTATACTTTTCAGTAGACATCATTCACCTTCAGCGTTTATACTCTTCAGTAGACATCATTCACCTTCAGAGTTTATACTCTTCAGTAGATATCATTCACCTTCAGCGTTTATACTCTTCAGTAGATATCATTCACCATTCACCTTCAGAGTTTATACTCTTCAGTAGATATCATTCACCTTCAGCGTTTATACTCTTCAGTAGATATCATTCACCTTTAGAGTTTATACTCTTCAGTAGATATCATTCACCTTCAGCGTTTATACTCTTCAGTAGATATCATTCACCTTTAGAGTTTATACTCTTCAGTAGATATCATTCACCTTTAGAGTTTATACTCTTCAGTAGACATCATTCACCTTCAGAGTTCATACTCTTCAGTAGACATTATTCACCTTCAGAGTTCATACTCTTCAGTAGATATCATTCACCTTCAGAGTTCATACTCTTCAGTAGATATCATTCACCTTCAGAGTTTATACTCTTCAGTAGATATCATTCACCTTCAGAGTTTATACTCTTTATACTCTTCAGTAGATATCATTCACCTTCAGAGTTTATACTCTTTATACTCTTCAGTAGATATCATTCACCTTCAGAGTTTATACTCTTCAGTAGATATCATTCACCTTCAGAGTTTATACTCTTCAGTAGATATCATTCACCTTCAGAGTTTATACTCTTTATACTCTTCAGTAGATATCATTCACCTTCAGAGTTTATACTCTTTATACTCTTGAGTAGATATCATTCACCTTTAGAGTTTATACTCTTTATACTCTTCAGTAGATATCATTCACCTTCAGAGTTCATACTCTTCAGTAGACATCATTCACCTTCAGAGTTTATACTCTTCAGTAGATATCATTCACCTTCAGAGTTCATACTCTTCAGTAGACATCATTCACCTTCAGAGTTCATACTCTTCAGTAGATATCATTCACCTTCAGAGTTTATACTCTTCAGTAGATATTGTTTACCTTCAGAGTTTATACTCTTCAGTAGATATCATTCACCTTCAGAGTTCATACTCTTCAGTAGATATCATTCACCTTCAGAGTTCATACTCTTCAGTAGACATCATTCACCTTCAGAGTTTATACTCTTCAGTAGATATCATTCACCTTCAGAGTTTATACTCTTCAGTAGATATCATTCACCTTCAGAGTTTATACTCTTCAGTAGATATTGTTTACCTTCAGAGTTTATACTCTTCAGTAGATATCATTCACCTTCAGAGTTTATACTCTTCAGTAGATATCATTCACCTTCAGAGTTTATACTCTTCAGTAGATATCATTCACCTTCAGAGTTTATACTCTTCAGTAGATATCATTCACCTTCAGAGTTTATACTCTTCAGTAGATATCATTCACCTTCAGCGTTTATACTCTTCAGTAGACATCATTCACCTTCAGAGTTTATACTCTTCAGTAGATATCATTCACCTTCAGAGTTTATACTCTTCAGATATCATTCACCTTAGATATCATTCACCTTCAGTTTATACTCTTCAGTAGATATCATTCACCTTCAGTGTTTATACTCTTCAGTAGACATCATTCACCTTCAGAGTTTATACTCTTCAGTAGATATCATTCACCTTCAGAGTTTATACTCTTCAGTAGACATCATTCACCTTCAGAGTTTATACTCTTCAGTAGATATCATTCACCTTCAGAGTTTATACTCTTCAGTAGACATCATTCACCTTCAGAGTTTATACTCTTCAGTAGATATCATTCACCTTCAGTGTTTATACTCTTCAGTAGACATCATTCACCTTCAGTGTTTATACTCTTCAGTAGATATCATTCACCTTCAGAGTTCATACTCTTCAGTAGATATCATTCACCTTCAGTGTTTATACTCTTCGGTAGATATCATTCACCTTCAGAGTTTATACTCTTTATACTCTTCAGTAGACATCATTCACCTTCAGAGTTTATACTCTTCAGTAGATATCATTCACCTTCAGTGTTTATACTCTTCAGTAGATATCATTCACCTTCAGAGTTTATACTCTTCAGTAGATATCATTCACCTTCAGTGTTTATACTCTTCAGTAGATATCATTCACCTTCAGTGTTTATACTCTTCAGTAGATATCATTCACCTTCAGAGTTTATACTCTTCAGTAGACATCATTCACCTTCAGTGTTTATACTCTTCAGTAGATATCATTCACCTTCCGAGTTCATACTCTTCAGTAGATATCATTCACCTTCAGTGTTTATACTCTTCGGTAGATATCATTCACCTTCAGAGTTTATACTCTTTATACTCTTCAGTAGACATCATTCACCTTCAGAGTTTATACTCTTCAGTAGATATCATTCACCTTCAGTGTTTATACTCTTCAGTAGATATCATTCACCTTCAGAGTTTATACTCTTCAGTAGATATCATTCACCTTCAGTGTTTATACTCTTCAGTAGATATCATTCACCTTCAGTGTTTATACTCTTCAGTAGATATCATTCACCTTCAGAGTTTATACTCTTCAGTAGATATCATTCACCTTCAGAGTTTATACTCTTCAGTAGATATTATTCACCTTCAGAGTTTATACTCTTCAGTAGATATCATTCACCTTCAGTGTTTATACTCTTCAGTAGATATCATTCACCTTTAGAGTTTATACTCTTCAGTAGATATCATTCACCTTCAGTGTTTATACTCTTCAGTAGACATCATTCACCTTCAGCGTTTATACTCTTCAGTAGATATCATTCACCTTCAGTGTTTATACTCTTCAGTAGATATCATTCACCTTTAGAGTTTATACTCTTCAGTAGATATCATTCACCTTCAGAGTTTATACTCTTCAGTAGACATCATTCACCTTTAGAGTTTATACTCTTCAGTAGATATCATTCACCTTCAGAGTTTATACTCTTCAGTAGACATCATTCACCTTCAGAGTTCATACTCTTCAGTAGATATCATTCACCTTCAGAGTGAGTTCTTTTTTAATACAGACAACTTACACATTATCCTATATTGTTTGATTCTCCAGTATTCTTAATTGTTATGTACATATACCTGTTCATCAAAATATTGTTATATACATATACTTGTTCATCAAATTATTGTTATGTACATACACCTGTTCATCAAAATATTGTTATATACACCTGTTCATCAAATTATTGTCATGTACATACACCTGTTCATCAAAATATTGTTATGTACATACACCTGTTCATCAAAATATTGTTATGTACATACACCTGTTCATCAAATTATTGTTATGTACATACACCTGTTCATCAAAATATTGTTATGTACATACACCTGTTCATCAAAATATTGTTATGTACATACACCTGTTCATCAAAATATTGTTATGTACATACACCTGTTCATCAAATTATTGTTATGTACATACACCTGTTCATCAAAATATTGTTATGTACATACACCTGTTCATCAAAATATTGTTATGTACATACACCTGTTCATCAAAATATTGTTATGTACATACACCTGTTCATCAAATTATTGTTATGTACATATACCTGTTCATCAAATTATTGTTATGTACATATAGCTGTTCATCAAATTATTGTTATGTACATATACCTGTTCATCAAATTAAACATCTCAATTTTTAATCTGTAAAATTATTTTCCTTAACAAACTCTAGAAAACATTGATATTTAGCAACATTTACATAAATGCCACAATTAAAATAAACTTATTCCAACAAATACTGACCGCAACCAGGGCTGGACCAATAACGTTGTTGACATTGTCTACAGCCTTGGAGACACCTAAAAATAAAAAGGTATTATTTGCACACAATACAATAATTTTAAATACTCAAATATCAACACTCTCATTAAAGATCCACAACATCACAATTATCTACTGTTGTTCTGATGATGTCTCTCCCTTAACATGTAAACAACACTGTCATTAGATTAGGATAAAAAGGAGAACCTTCTGTGTTGGACTCATTCCTATTTAGTGATATTACCTGGATTTACCCCTCGTGAGGCCTCAAGTAAACACTCATATCTAGACATTGTGAGACATTGTGCCTTCATCCCCTTCCCCCTCCAAGTGATTTTGATAAGAATTATATTATTTGATCTTAAAGAGGATATGGTCTAGAAAATAATGAAATCTCTTGAAGTATGTCTCATTTATTCATCAGGTTTTTTTGCTAAGAATGGATGGGTGGATGCACAGAAGGACAAACACACTGGGTGTGATTACTGGGTAAGGTGGCTAGGTGTACAAAAAACAAAACACTTAATCCATGATTTATTATGAATAAATTGTTTAAGCACCTGTATCATCAGTATGTTTGACTGAAAAGCATTTTGAAAGCTAAAGTATAATATACTTTCACATGTACCTTTCCCATGGTATTCTGTTTTGACCTTGTCTCTCAACTCCAGAGCCTCGTAGATACCTGTGGATGCACCGCTGGGTACAGCTGCCCTGAATACCTGACCTTCAATGGAAAACCAACCTCTGCCAACTTAATTTAAATCTTTTGACATTCTGATAATGTTAAGTTAACTGAAATTGATTTATTAAAATAAAGGAAAAAGTATTTAAAACACTTGCATATTTTTTATATTTGTCTTTAACCTTTTATTTTGATTTGATGCTATTTCATTTTGGATCACTGTTTATTTCACCAGTTGATAGCCCTAATGACCTTTTTTGTGTTGACAGGCCTTTAAGATCGTAACAATAATAATACTTGTATATGTCCCCATTAGATCCCACCTCTCCTCCCTAGGAAGGTCAGGTGCACTTTTTGTAAAACAGGGACTGAGACCAACTATTCATTCAAAATTGATTCCCCTTCACCTAAAAATGTTTCATGCCAAATTTTGGCAAAATCCTACCATTCCTGCAGGAGGAGTAGAATTTTAAAGATCTTGCAAAATTTTCCCTTTTGGGCCAGACCCCTCAGGCTCTAGTGGGCCCAGACCCACTATGTATACAAAATTGGTTTATCTCCCCATAGGAAGCTTCAGACCAAATTTAGGCAAAAACCTTCAGGCCAGGTAAGCTAAAACCCTTGACAAGCAGGCCTACTGCCACATTGGAAATATAGACAAAGAACAAGGCCCAATGTCATTTAACTTTATTACACATTCAGAAGTAAGCCCAGTTAAGGTCATGTTGCATTAGGACCTTGCCCACCAGGTATATATTTTATCAAACATATAGACATTGATGCATATGCATCATCACATTTCGTAATGTGACACCTGCACAAATGCGACAACAATAAGATATGGGTTTCCTACTGTATGCTTGAGTTGGCCTAGACTTTGCTAAATTGTCTGCAATGAAAAACTGGCTAACTCAACAGCCAGAATCATATTTTATAAAGCTATCCCATTTCATTGATATCCTAAGTCCTGTGATATAATTTGTGATAAGTATCAATCAACATGCCCGAGTTGATTGCAATCAACCATTTATAATTCATAACATCCTGTAATGTTGTGAAGATGCCAGCCTAGTGGTGAACCTACTATTAACGGTAACCTCTACTTCCACTGTTGGGTTTCCACGACTGTCAAAAATCTGTCGAGCATGGACCTTGCTGATGTTTGCCATGATGAATCTGAAATGAAATTTGAATTAAACAGCTGTTGTACAATTATTACATTGCAACTGTAATCCTGACAAATACTAGTTGCAATAAACTGCTCTGCTAGATAAAACTTCTCTTTAACTGTATCAGTTAAACATAAGACTTGTATGCCAAAGGTCCCAGTTCAAATCCCCTCTGTTACACAACATACAGTGATGATAATCAATGGAAATGACATCTCCAAGGACTGTTGAACTTTCCCCCAGGATCATCACCTGCAGAAACTGAAACTTCTTATCTTATCTACCAAGGTATTTATGACTTACATGCAAGGAGACAATATAAATATCTGGTGACAAATTCCCATTTAGCTTATTAATTGAAAATTCTGATAGTTAATAACAATCAATTGTAGTTACATAAACAAGAAGCCTAAAGGGCCTGTATCGCTCACCTGGATCTTTATGACCAACAGTATTATATCTGTGTATATGTTCCACGTTTAACATATTTCACCCCTGTAACCTTGACTATGGTTCAAGGTCATTTCTTTTTTCAAAATATCTTGTACTTCATAAAAGGAACATACTGGCCAAATATAATGATTCTAGGCTTTTCCATATTTCAGAAGAAATTGTTTAAATGTTTTAACACACTTGACCCCTGTGACCTTGGTCAAGGTAATTTCTTCTAGCAAACTTTGTAGGACAGCATAAAAGCTACAAAGTAGCCTAATATAATGATTCCAGGCCTTCCAGTATTTGGGGAGAAGACATTTAAAGGTTTTAACACATTTGACCTCTGTGACCTTAAATATGGCCCAAGGTTATTTTTTTTTTTTGCAAACTTTGTTGGGTTTCATCAAAGGAACCTTCCCGTCATATATAATGATTCTAGGCCTTCCGGTATTTTGGAAGAAGTCGCATAAAGTTTTTAACAGATTTGACCTCTGTGACCTTGAATATGGGTCAAGGTCATTTCTTTTAGCAAACTTTGTTAAGCTTCATCAAAGAACCTTCCAGCCATATATAATGATTCTAGACCTTGCAGTATTTTGGAAGAAGTCGTTTAAGGTTTTAACACATTTGACCTCTGTGACCTTGAATATGGGTCAAGGTTATTTCTTTTTGCAAATTTTGTTGGACTTCATCAAAGGAACCTTCCAGCCAAATATGATAACTACATCTTTCAGTATTTCAGAAGAAGTTGTTTAAATGAAAAGTTCTTTGGGCCAGGTGAGCTAAAAATAATAATATTTTTTTTTAATAACTATTGTTGACACTATATTAACACTATGAGTTGACAAAGATTTTTACTGACAGGCCTCCATCTATATATGAAATTTACATACATGCGCCAAAGGGTGTACAGCAGTGGACAAATTATCAATATGGGGAAACATATAAGTTGAGTGATTACTGTAAACCACATTGAACTGGAATAAGAAAAACAGTCTCCAAAAACCAGCTGTGACAGGTAAATCCACTTTATCCAGCCAGGATTCCTGGATTTTCAGTTCAGAATAAAATTACTCTAAGTCATGTTGTAGTTGGTCAGTTTAAGTTGAGCTTGTTTCATCATAATTTTCAAAAATTCATATTATTTGTTGATTTCAACTTAATTCTGAGTTTGTGTTATATTAAAATTAAATGGTTGATTAACTTTTTTCTCTTTGTATTTACACTTCTAAATTCCAATAGGGATGTATCAAATTTAAAAGAATTGAATCGTGGTTTCAGTATAGAGATACATGGCAGATCTATTGAGAGCTTGATATGGCATAAGGAAGTTCCAATAAAGCCTCTTAAATCAGAAGCTGTTATGTTGGGGTTCAAGATTGAAATTTCATTCATCATGATCCACAGTTTTGCTGTTGTAACAGTTGAAACATGCAATTTCATTAATTTGTGAGCAAGTGATCCTATTTTGCTTTGTTGCATATCTTGACAGTCTGGTAATCTTGGACAATCAAATAACTCAAATGTCAAACCCTGTATGATCTAGCACTTGACTCTGCAATGTTTTGCTTCATTAAAATTACATTGAACAGGTTTGCGATAAAACCAATACATCTTTGGCTTACAATATACAGATGATTTTTCACTGCTGTACACATGTCTGGTAGATGTCATAAAATGCTTTTTAAAAAATCAAAACACACAAAAGGAGACAAGACACATATAATATCTAAACCAGATTAAAAAAAGGTCAAATACATATTGTATACTTTGATAACAGTTTTGAATTAAATAAACCAGATTATGCATTGCAATCCATTGGACAGCAACAAAATCATGCACCAGAAAGTGAATCTATTTTAAGAATGTATTAACCTGTGATTTTGTGACAAATGGTTTAATTGTTGTTTCTGGCAAAATTGATGAGTGGTACTGGTTTACTATGACTAGTACTACATTATTATGATTTTTCTGGTGCATTATGTATCCTTTTGTGTCAATTTTACCGACAAAACTGATAATGCTGGCATTCAGGGTACAGTATGTACTGCTGGCTTGACAAATTGTTTTCATAGAAAATTTCAAAGACTGTATTTTCAACAAATGACAAAAACATACAAAAATGCCACTTCAATGAATATTTCTGCGATGAAAATGTTGTGTCCATGTATTGTAAGAATTACTACATTTCCCATCATAATGACCGGGTCCCCAAACACTGATTGATCTCAAAAAACATCCGTCATCTCAACAAGTCAGAATACTGACTACTATGGTAAAATTTCAGTGATTCAGTGTTAGTTCAGTATGTAAACGAGAAAAAAAAACAAAAAATGCAATTTTCGTATATTTTGGAAAAGCACTTATGACTCACCAAAGTGTTCAAGATCTAATCCTCAGAGAGGAAATATAAAAGGGTGTGATGGAGTTCCGGAGCATCCTTTCAAACCCAACTTTGTTTTTGAAAAAGTCATAATATTGCTAACGTTATCTTTTCTATCAATTTTGCAATGACATCTTTTCAGGATTTATAATCTTACTTGTTTGTAGACGTTTTTGGTGCAACCGTGTCTTCTTGCGAGTGATCACACTTCAGTCATGAAGCCGAGTGCAGGTGACCGAATGACAAGGTCGGACACTTGAGGTTCTCCTCAAGGTCACAGACTATCAACATTGCATATGAGTTAAATGACAGTTGCTTCAAAAAGCATTTTTCCACATATGAATAAGCTGAAACAATTATTATACTGTTATATTGTGTGCTGTAATTATTATCTTCGATAATAATAAATGTTAACGAGCCCAAAATACCTTGTTACGTTCCAAAGCCGGTTCACAGACGTCTTGATTAAGATGGAGGAAGGCCGACGACCAAATTTGGAATAACTCTCGAAAGCTCTCGGACGTTTTCTTAATCGTTATGAATTCATCAAAGATCTACCGAACGTATATAGCCTCCAAACTGACATTCGCGATTAATTCATTATCTTAAGGTTACTGTCTATTTTAACGATATTTTGTCAAAATAAAAGATATTTTATTAGCAGCCACAAATTATTCTTCAAAATATATTACGATTTTTTTCTCTTGATTTTAGCAGCGCCCCCTACGTCATTGAAAATAAACTAAAATGGAAGTAGGCGTCAATAGATGAACTTACAGAGTTTAGTATTATCGATAATCTGGAAATGAAGACCCATTTAGAGACACATTTTACACTCAACTAATCGTTTCAATTGTTAATAATGAGACCCACTATTGACTTCAGAGAATGTCTCAAGGATTCGCCGAAGTTCAGGTGAGATGCTATGTTGTGTTGCAGGTGCCCCGATCAGCATCGGTTGCTACTGCCAGCTGTCGTGACTTTTAATTCTCTCTAAATTGACCTTCATTATGTTATCTCTTTAGTTTCAAAGATGTGGGATTGAAAATTATTTTTATATATTCATTTAGTTATACGTTCCCTACCAGAATTACGGAATGAGTAATACCTAAATAACTTCTTTGATGTTTGTAATGTGATCATAACCACTATCGCCATTTAATCATACAATCTACTACAGTATTAAGAGTTGGTAACATCACGACTTATTTGGCTGTGTTCCATACATACTTTGATAATGTTATAATGGAAATTGAACAACATAAATACATCATGAATGTCGATAATTATATCAATCATTACAGCTCTATGTAGATATTAACTACTTAATCATAATATGATTACAGATGGCTGTATAATTCTATACAAGTTAGATGTTTACAGATATGTAACGCTGGTAAAATACTAGTCACAACATACCACTGGCTAAGGAGAACTCTTTAGCTCAATTGGTTGAGTATCATACTAGTAAGTCAGGGTCCCGGGTTCAAATCCTAGCAGAGGCATTGAAATAAATATTGACCTCTGCTATATTGGTCCCAATGTAGGGACTTGGGAATAATACTTAGCATTGTTCCAGCAAACATTGCTTTAACCCTTGGAAACTCAAGTACAAGTTATTTTCTGTAGGGAAAGTATGTAACCCAGGTAAATACTAGCTGCAATATACCACTCAGCTAGAAAGAACCTCTCATTAGCTTGATCAGTTGAGCATCAGAGTAGTAAGCCAGGGGCCCTGGGTTCTAACCCTAGTAAAGATGAAATGAATAATGACCTCTGTTACATATACATATAGTACCTATAGTTATATTGGAGAGACACAGTTCATGTATCTATGTGTCCAATATAGGTAGACATGCAGGTATCTAGCAGGGCTGGAGAGGGAATGAATGAACTTAATTTAATGTCATGAATATTTAAAAGTCAACAAACACATTTGAATCAATGTTTGGGATGTTATAGGAAATTGAGGGCAAAAGCAATGAACTACCAGCTGTTAAAAGGGAAAAAACTAACCAAACAGACATCCATTCCTGCCTCTGTACATCTGCAACCCATGCTGCTTTTAGAGGGAAATGGTATTTTCTCTACTTGTAAAACTTCAAAATTTGAAAAATTAATAAATATGAAAATGCATCTAAATGTTGTGAAATACTATAAACATGATTTAACACTTTACATAGGTGTTTGTAATTTCTGGAATGAGTAATAGGACTATGCTTTGATAAGTCTTGCGAATCTTACTTTCAAAGCAGGGTCATGATCAATTTTCAGTTTGAACTGTAAAGTATTTGTCTGATGATTAACTCTGATAGGTTTACTTATAGTCAGATTTGAAACTTAATTAAGATTTTTGTCTCACTGTAATAAAGGTTTCCTTGCATGGGATAGATTGCTAGGCTTCTTGCCCCATGTGCAAATATTTCACCTTTATTGCTCTGGATGGCAAGTGATGGACTTCCCCTGTGTCATTAATTATGAGGTAGTCACAAGCTTCATTTGCTGTTCCCATGATGATAAATCTTCACTAGACAACATATAGGAGGTTAAATACATATGTATGCTACAGAATCTTTACCTGAAGTTGTCAGATCTGATGCTGTACTGATTTGTCTCCCTTCCCAGACCCAGCTATAAAAAGGAGTTACTTTCTAATTTCTTGTGTTGATGCATCAGATGCAAGATGCAGATATACAGTTTTTAGGTCACCTGAAATGAAATCTCAAGTGACCTATTGTGATCGCCTTTTGTCTGGCAGTGTCTGTCATGTGTTGTCCGTCATAAACAATTGACATTTTCAACTTCTTCTCAATAACCAAAAGGCTTAGAGTGCTGATACTGGGACTCTAACATGCTGGCATGAAGGGCTACCAAGCTTGTTCATATTATTGACCTTGATATACTTTCAAGGTCACCGGTGTCAAATATGTCAAAAGAGTTAGAGATATTGGGCTTGTAGCATGCCTGCATGAGGGGTTACTAAGTTTGTTAAAATTAATGACATTGATCCACTTTCAAGGACACAAGGGTGAAATATGTCAAAATATTTAAAACAACCTCTTCTCAAAAACCAAAAGGCCCAGAGGGAAGGGATATATCTGTTTCATATATAAATATATAGTTCAATTAGATGAGAACATTGTGTATCGTTTAAATATGTAAACATAAAAGGCCAACAAGGCAAATAAACTTGATTATCGCTAACGTTTTCAGGCCATGTCTCGGCTATCTTCAGGCGATTACTTTAATGTCTTGGTAACAACATTATGACGTAATGTAAACATATATATATATACCGTAAATTTCCACGTATAGTGCACACTTTTTCAAGCTAAAACTGTCGTGTTGAGAATGGGGTGCACATTATATGTAGGAACATGCCATTCTTGGGGTTATCATTCCCGAGTTCTGCGTACGCCATATTGGATTACCTCCCTTCAAAAAGTTATATGTAAGAGTCGTCGGTCATTTACGACAGTTTGGAGATAAAAGAAAATAGAATAAATTTCCAATGTTTTAATCATCGGCCATACCGGCTAGCATTATGATGAATATAATTTTTTTTTCGTTTCTCGAATAGTCACAGTCTTACTATTGGTCGCAGCTATAGGCCTCGTAGTGTCTGAAAGTAGATAGAAAGTAAGCAGTGTCGGTCTTCGTAGTCTTCATGACCTGCAGGCACAGTTCTGTTGTACTGACAGCGATCGCATACAAAGTTGGACAGCTCTCTCCATCTCTGGGTGTTTCGCTGTGGCACTTCTGTCAGCCCTTCTGGACAGTGGTTGGGACTTTAGACATTCCTTTTTTTCTTCCATGCCCTGATATTTGACTCTCAAATCTCGAAGTGGCGACCGGCGGCACGAAACCCAAGTCTCTCAGCGTACTCAACGACGTCCAGTTTTTCTTTCGCTGCAAACAATGTTCGCTGTTTCCCCATGTCAAAGTCGGTGTATACAATCTATAATTAAGTACCTTCGAATACCACGGTAGGTACAGATATGGGGACAAAGTAGGATTGAAAATTTGCAGACAGTTAAAACAACATTGTTTTCTGACCAATAGCAGGCGTTTAGCCCATGCCGAGTGTCATCAATTTCCTCATACTCAATGTGTTACCTGTTTAGAACAGTTAATTATCCAATTAGCCAAGCCTTTCATGCTTGTTAAGTCAGGCACCTGTGTGAATTTGTTTACATAAGGTAATTAAATATGTTAGGGTCAGGATGATTGTGGTTTCCTCATTATCAATGGATCAAACCACAACTGTTTCATCACGGTACCAGTTATCAATTAATCTTTCTGTGGAAATTTGTTTTTTTTTAATCTGACTCCAAGAAAGTACCTGCGCATTATACCAGAGTGTGCACTATACCCGCAAATTTACGGTAATATGTACCTTTCAGATTTGTGATTTGATTTCTGATATTGTCGAAGGAAGGTCCTGCCTGGAATTGATTCCTGTCAGGCATTCAGTAGCAATGTGTTTTATATTCCCTGTTCTGTAATGTTGATGTTGGAAATCCTATTGTTGATGGTATTAATATAAACTCCCAACTCAGCCTACATACTTCTGGGTACCCAGCTGAAGAGTAAAGGCCCCTCATATTTGCCCAACTCAGTCACCCTACAGACTCCTGGGTATCCAGCTGATAAGTAAAGGAATCTCATATCCATCCATGTCATAATGAACTGTGTTGGCTTTTCTACCTTAATCCTTCTGCGTATTAACGATTGATGCATTCCAAACATTCAGTTTCAAGTTTTGTGGAAAAGCCAGTATATTTTCATCCTACGTTATAAGTAGTAGAATGGTATTTATATGTGTGTGAAATTGGAATCATTCCAAATGCAAGCTTTAAAATCAAACTTATAAATAAAATGGACAATATAATGCAGCCTGTATGAAAGCAAAACTTCATTTTTCAATCACTAAATTTTTGTAACTTAAGTCCGCAATAAATACAGCTGAAGAAAAACAAGGAAGTGTGTAGGATTGCACATTTATGTAAAATACAAAAAATAACCCAAGTAATTACTTAAATTTGAGCCGTAAACTTTGTAGAAAGGGTTTATTCCAATATTTTCCCTGAAATATTCAAATACATGATCAAGAGATGTTGATAGTGACTGACATGGGGCTGTGGAATCACTTTGTCAGTAATAACATTGTCACAACACTCTTTACCCTACTCTCATTACCCTACACCAATTACCCTACACTCATAACCCTACACCTGTTACCCTACACTTCCAGTTACCCTACACTCATAACCTTACACCAATAACCTACACCTGTTACCCTATACTCATTTACACTCCCAGTTACCCCATTACTCTACACCTGTTAACCCACCCCCATTACCCTACACCCGTTATCCCACACCTGTTACCCTACATCCATTACCCTACACCCAGTATCCCACACCCATTACCCTACACCTGTTACCCCACACCCATTACCCTACACCCATTACCTAACACCCATTACCCTGCACCCATTACCCCACACCCATTACCCTACACCTGTTACACCACACCCCATTACCCTACAACCATTACCTTACACCTGTTACCCCACACCCATTACCCTACACCCATTACTCAACACCCATTACCCTACACCCATTACCTTACACCTGTTACCCCACACCCATTACCCTACACCCATTACCTTACACCTGTTACCCCACACCCATTACCCTACACCCATTACCCTACACATGTTACCCTACACCCATTACCCTACACCAATTACCTTACACCCATTTCCCTACATCTATTACCCCACACCCAATACCATACACCCATAACCCTACACCCATAACCCTACACCCATAACCTTACACAAATTACCCTACACCCATTACCTTACACCCATTACCTAACACCTGTTACCCTACACCCGTTACCCTACATCCGTTACCCTACACCCATTACCCTACACCCATTACCTTACACCTGTTACCCCACACCCATTACCCTACACATGTGAACCTACATCCATTACCCTACACCCATTACCTTACACCTGTTACCTTACACCCATTACCCTACACCCATCCTACACCCATTACCTTACACCTGTTACCCTACACCCATTACCCTACACCCATCCTACACCCATTACCTTACACCTGTTACCTTACACCCATTACCCTACACCCAATACCCTACAACTGTTACCCCACACCCATTACCCTACACGCATTACCCTACACCCATTACCCTACACCTGTTACCCTACACCCATTACCCTACACATGTTACCCTACACCCATTACCCTACACCAATTACCTTACACCCATTTCCCTACACCTACACCCATTACCTTACACCCCACCCATTACCCTACACCTGTTACCATACACCCATACCCCACACCCATTACCCTACACCCGTTACCCTACACCCATTACCCTACACCCATTACCTTACACCCATTACCCTACACCCGTTACCCTACATCCGTTACCCTACACCCATTACCCTACACCCATTACCCTACACCCATTACCCCACACCCATTACCCTACACCTGTTACCCTACACCAATTACCCTACACCCATTACCCTACACCTATTACCCTACACCCATTACCCTACACCTATTACCCTACACCCATTACCCTACATCTGTTACCTTACACCCATTACCCTACACCTGTTACCTTACACCAATTACCTTACACCCATTACCCTACACCCATTACCCTACACCTGTTACCCTACACCCATTACCCTACACCCGTTACCCCACACCCATTACCCTACACCCATTACCTTACACCCATTACCTTACACCCATTACCCTACACCGGTTACCCTACATCCGTTACCCTACACCCGTTACCCCACACCCATTACCCTACACCCATTACCTTACACCCATTACCCTACACCCGTTACCCTACATCCGTTACCCTACACCCATTACCCTACACCCATTACCTTACACCCATTACCCTACACCCGTTACCCTACATCCGTTACCCTACACCCGATACTTATAGATTACAGACAAGACACAGACAGGTTCCATTGTGACATAGAGTGTTAATCATGACCTTTAAGTCACTGATTCAGAGCTACAAGGATTTTAAATAGGAAACAAGTTGTTCTGGCTTCCTGGTTGTAGGTAAACCTGTGTATTATAAAGGATTTTACACTAGATTGTAAAATTTATTTACAATGGTAGTTGTTGATGGGGGCTTTATCAGCCCAATAATATATAGCTGCTGGATATTCCTAGATACTGTACTGTAGTATGAAAACACTTACCCAAGATTATTTTTATACTCTGATCATCAAAATATTTGTCATCACCGGGTTCACCCTGAAATTATAGCATTTAATTTAGCTTTAACTTTAAAACTTTAGACAGTATTTGATTTTGGCCCGACCATTGACCAAAAAAGGAAGAAAAGTTATGCTGTTTAAGTACTTTGTATACAATACTTCAATATTTTATATTATAAGGGTGTAATGTGGTGGGTATAGGGTAACAGGTGTAGGGTAACTGTACATTGTTATAAACAGAGGTATAGGTTTCATCAATAGAAACAGTTGTACATTAGTACACGTATACATACCACGTAATATCAGTAATGATGAAAATGATTATTTAATTTATTTTCAACAAATGCACAATAAAATACACACTGTAGAACTTTAAAACAGAATTAATATCTCGCCCACTGATGACCCAAGAAACATTGATACATGGGACTGATTAGTCATATTGCCTTCTTATCATTGGCTACATTTTTTTTCCCCAAAATTATGATAAACAGGAACTTAAAGTTGCATAATAATAGACTGAAAACTACAATGAATTTGTGATTGAAACATGTACATATACATTTTAGATCAAATAACCGCCAGTTAAGTTCTTCTCAACTCATGATCAGCACCTGAAACAAGCACACATTTTATAGCCCACCAAATTAAGTATGACTCATTATCAACACAATGCCTCTATTTAGGCTTAGTTGTAATGTTGTTATTTGTTTGTGTTTTCAGGACCTCCTTGGAAGGATCCGAGAACGACTTGGAGATCCTAGAAGCACGGCTAGAAAGGGTAAGTTTTTAGAGGTAGTAAATATGTATTAGTGATATTTGGGATGTAAGTCAGGACAACACTGATGATTGTAAGTGAAATTATATTAAAGATTTTTAGCTCACCTGGCCCTTTGGCTAGGTGAGCTTATGCCATAGCGCAGCATCCGTCGTCGGTCTGTTGTCTGTCATCCATCGTCCTTCCGTCTGGTGTCCGTCAACTTTTCATTTAAACAACTTTTTCTGAAACACTGAAAGGCGTAGAGTTATCATATTTAGCTGGAAGGTTCCTTTGATGAAGGCAAACAAAGTTTGCAAAAAGAAATAACCTTGACCCATATTCAAGGTCACAGAGGTCAAATGTGTTAAACCTTTAGCCGACTTCTTTCAAAATACCAGGAGGCCTAGAATCATTATATTTGGCTGGAAGGTTCCTTTGATGAAGCCAAACAAATTTTGCCAAAAAAAATAACCTTGACCCATATTCAAGGTCACAAAGGTCAAATGTGTTAAAACATTTAAATAACTTCTTCCAAAATACCGAAAGGCCTAGTATCATTATATTAGGCTACTATGTTCCTTTTATGGTGTCCTACAAAGTTTGCTAAAAGAAATGACCTTGACCAATCTTCAAGGTCACTGGAGTCAAATGTGTTAAAACGTTTAAACATTTTCTTCTGAAATATCGAAAAGCCTAGAATCAATATATCTTGCCAGTATGTTCCTTTAATGAAGTTCAAGAAAGTAAAAGAAATGACCTTGACCCATAGTCAAGGTCACAAGGGTCAAATGTGTTAAACGTGGAACATATGCACAGATATAGTAATGTTGGTCATAAAGATCCAGGTAAGCGATACAGGCCCTCTGGGCCTCTTTTTCATTTGCAATTTTCATTGACCATTGACAAATCTGAAATCAAAATATCTTAAACGGATCAATTCACGTGACTGCTTACATGATCAGGTGAATGTCAGCTGCATCATTAAAAAAAATTGTGTGTCATTTAAACCCTGTCTCTTTTAAGTTTAGATAATTTTAAATAAAAGTTTCATCTAAGACTTGAAAGGCCCCATTCCTACACCCTATTATTATCATGATCATCATTTAGGTTTGAATAATATCTACAATATCAACAACTGTGGGCAACTTACACATTTACTATTGCAATTTCTGAAGCATAACAATTGTTTTCATCACTCACTGATTTACATTGTACACATCCACTTAGTTTGGGTTTTTTTGTCTGTTATGTCTCTTTTACTATCCTTGTATCCTTCTACAGCTTTATAATAGTTTTGTTGAATTTTGTTGATGTAATCATATTATCTCTCACTGAAGTTGTGTTTGGATCTGCCTATCTTATTACATATGGCTGTCATTTTGAATGTCCTTGGAATAATGACAATATTTCAAGTGCTTGCTGGTACTTATATGGTCACACTGCTAGAGTTGACAATTGTAATACCCTTCACTAGAATACTTGTGTCTCAGTTGTCTTGACTTCAAAGAATTCTTAAAATCTTAAAAGAAGTTCTCAGAAATATCACCAGGCAGATCCCTCACTGATGCAATGTGTGTTACTCATGTCCGCCATATAGGTAAAGTGCTTGACATGACTGATTCATTACTAAGTATGGCAGAAGGGGGACTGGGGCTGGTAATCATTTAATTAATATCATAATAGGACCTAAAATATTAGAAAAGTTGTTATCAAGGTCATTTTAGATTTTTTTTTTAAGTTTGCATTGAGAAATCTTGTAGATCATTCTTTGTCACTGCAACTCTTGTATCATTCTTTGTTTCAGATGGTGAAGCTATGCACTTCGATGATAGAGACTGGCAAGTCTTTTAAAAGAGCAAGCAGGTTTGATTTTACTTTAAAAAAGAATCACATTTCCCATTGATTACTGCATTCTGGTTTAACTTCTGCTCATTAATTAAAGAGTGTTTCACCTTTACTTTTTTCAGCAAAATTCCTGTAACATTTCCACCATGTAAACACCCAAAATCATAATTGTACCCCTCACATATGGGGATGGGAGTGGGATGAGATATGTAATAATCACTTGGTACATGATAACCTTATAGTGAAGAGATCTCACGATCAAACCAATGGACAGAGTTACTTCACATCCATACCATAGCATCCTTCCACCTAGGTCTAAACCTGGTGACGTTTTGGTAGCCAGTGGTCAATATTTAAGGTCAAAGGTCACTGTTGACTACTTTACAAATTTAAAGCTTTCGTGCAAGATATCTCATACCCAGACACAGCAGGAGTCAGAGAGACAGAAAACCTGTCAACCAACCAACCTATCTCATAAACCCCCCCAATTGGTCATCCTCTCAATAGATTTTGATCAGAAGATAAATAGTTCTGGGTATGATTTTATGAATATTGCCTCTGCACTTGTCCATAAGACTTAGTTCACGTTTCTACGATGCTGTGTGTGCCTATCTATCTAGGATTGCTGTTTCATTTAGTGATTATTTAAACCAATGTGTATTAGCTTGTGTGATATAACCTGTTGTGACATCAGGATCAGATGATCACATGATGACTCAAACCCACATGACACCACAAAAGAGATCAGAGATGAAGAACTAACAGTACTTCTTATGTCACAAAGGAAAAAAAAGGTTCTCTGCAATAGTTGCTGAAGAAGTAATTTTTATAAAAAAGAACTGAAGTTTGTTTTCATTTTATTTGTCACTTACTAAATTTAACACAATATTTCCAGTTTGGTTTACCAGATTCTAAAATAAAATATTCTCAGACTCATTTCATAACCACACATGAAAAAGCAAATCCTGTGAAATCCTATAATTACATAAACCTGATCAAAATCCTATAATTATATAACCCTGGTCGAAATCCTATAATTATATAACCCTGGTCGAAATCCTATCATGATAAAATCCTCGCCAGAATCCTATGATTATATATCCCTGGTCGAAATCCTATAATTTTATAACCCTGGTCGAAATCCTATAATTTTATAACCCTGGTCGAAAATCATGATAAAATCCTCGCCAGAATCCTATGATTATATATCCCTGGTTGAAATCCTAAAATTATATAACCCTGGCCAGAATAATATAATTATATAACCCTGGTCGAAATCCTATAATTATATAACCCTGGTCGAAATCCTATCATGATAAAATCCTCGCCAGAATCCTATGATTATATATCCCTGGTTGAAATCCTAAAATTATATAACCCTGGCCAGAATAATATAATTATATAACCCTGGTCAAAATCCTAGAATTATATAACCCTGGTCGAAATCCTATTATTATATCACCCTGGTCGAAATCCTATTATTATATCACCCTGGTTGAAATCCTATAGTTATATAACCCTGGTCAAAATCCTATAGTTATATAACCCTGGTCGAAATCCTATTATTATATCACCCTGGTCAAAATCCTATAATTATATAACCCAGGTCGAAATCCTATAATTATATAACCCTGGTCGAAATCCTATAATTATATCACCCTGCTCATTTATCTAAGAATAATAGTTTCCTCTAGGTGTTATTTAAACAATAAGGTGTTTCCTTCATGTGATTGGCTGTATATAAACATAGAATATTTAGGGAAAAAAAAATTGGTGTTTCAAGAAAACATGATATTAACCAGAAAGTGAAATTAACCAAAATGACATTAAATTGTTTCCACTATAATTACTATTGACTCGACTTATTCCCTTAAATTTATTAGGATTTAATGGAATATCTGCTGTAAGATCTCGGTACTATCTATATCAACTATAACTTTATTTAAAAAAGAACACTTTATTACTTATATTTACATAACCACACAATTTTGGACAACATTTATTAACTGTTAGGTATCCAGTGATATTGAGTGAAGTCCTCATCTTACATGATGTAGTTAACCTTGTCAGGGGAACAGCTAAAACTTGGCAGCAATTAAGATCCTTGTTATGTCACAGCAGAACCATTCACCATTAAAGACTCATCATTACACTATTTTAATGGAATAAATATGGTATATGGATATCGTTCTCAACATTTTCATGTTTTACTTGGTCTTTTTTCAGTGACTTTGTGATTGGGATACGAGACCTGGCCTCTTATTTCAAAGATGATGATCTGATTGTGGTAAGTAAATGAAAAATATTTTAGGGGGTGGAGAGGGGAGAGATTTTTGTCATATTTTTTTTATTTGATCCAAAACTACACTGCATAATGTAAAATTTAGTAATTCTTTGATATCACTTAGTTTCTTTTTTCCTGATTTAACAGAAAAATTATTGCATTTTCAAATTAGACTTTTTATGTGTGTAATTTCTGATGAATGTTTGATTTGAATTATTTGTCATTTTGTTAGATTAAGGTTAACTGGATTATCATACAAATCACAGCATTATTTTCAACTTCAGTGAGTGTGCTAGAAATGTATTCCACAAAACGTGTGTGACAAGGACTTTTGTAGGAAAATTATAAATAGCATGTATCTATATATATATTTGTGGGGAATATAATTAGTCACGTCTTGATAAGTACAAATCATTAATACACCTGTCTATATTTATACCATGAGTGTAAATAGGAGGTGTCTATATACAGATTCCATGTTTATAATTTTCCACATCTAGTTACGTACAAACCATTAATACACCTGTCTATATTTATACCATGAGTGTAAATAGGAGGTGTCAATACAGATTCCATGTTTATAATTTCCCACATCTAGTTACATACAAATCATTAATACACCTGTCTATATTTATACCATGAGTGTAAATAGGAGGTGTCAATACAGATTCCATGTTTATAATTTCCCACATCTAGTTACATACAAATCATTAATACTCTTTAAATAGCATGTGTATATACAGATACTAGAAGTTTAAATAACAGGTGTCTGTAATTGAAACATCAACATCTTGATTTCTTGGTTTTTTTGTGTTATTTACAAGTTGTAGCTAAGCTATGCTAGGCATAATCAGATATATGATAAACATATTGAAAGATTAAGGTTAAAGCTCATCCCTGGGATTATTGCTGAATACATATGACCCTAGTGATAAGAATGGACAATAATTCAATTTGACAGTTAAATTTTGGCTTCATGTTAACACAGGGATCTGCTGTGTCTCTTTCATGTGCAATTTACTCCTTCAAATTTAGTAATAAAAGCACAATTGTGAAAAACAGTTGTTGTGAATTGAAACATCATAAATCTGTTTATTGCTGTTTAGTGGAATTATTTTTATGAGAGTTTAATTCCATATGGAGATCACTGATATGTTTGACTTCAGTTACTGGGTTACCTGTATATGAAGCTTTTCAAGCTTTTAAGTAACTGTGATTGACCTTCATGTAATATTGAAACAAACACGCAAAACACCTATTGAATTCAGATTTGATAAAGTTGGTTTATCATATATAGTATTGTACCATGTTTACTGTTGATAAAGTGTCAGAAGTCAGACTGGTCTTTTCACTTCTCCTTCGCCATCTGTAAAACAGGGCTCCCTATGGAACTGAAATGAAGGCTTAGCCCTTTGGATTATGCAGTGGTAGCTCAGACTTGTGTATCCCAGAAATTGCAACCTCTTTCAACCAATTTTGACCTAAAAAAAAAACTCAATTATATACATGCTGTGACCTCTTTCTACCGACCTTGACCTTGACACCGTGACCTACAGTTATACTGTACACAAAAACCTTTGACATATTCCCTGCTTTCTTAATGCAGGATGATTCGAAAGTGTGTGTAAGTACAGACAGGCTGCTAGTTCAGTTCTAGCTCCACATTGCACCAAAACTTGTGTTTTTAGAATGTCATGTGTACAACAATCTGTCTTGTCTAAATAAGGGAAATCTCTCAAATTTTTTCATTCATTTATATTAGTTATACAATGTGCTATAAATTAAATGATTATTGTTTGGTTTTGATTCAATATCTGATATTCAGATATTGATAGAATAAATTTCTTAATTACATTTTCACAAAACAATTATGAATAATCTCTTCTACATTTTGGCAAAATGTTGATTCGTAAATTGTTCAATTCTTTGTATCGGTGGATATTTATCAAATTTCCCTTGTTTATTTTCTAATGAATTGTACATTAATCTTGTACCATGCATCTTGAGTTTGTTTGGCTTGCTTTTTATCTCTTTTATTGACACAAACATTAAGTATTGTAGATATTTGCACTTGTTTCCTAGGAAACACAATCTCTCGATAGACCTCTCTCATCACTAATGTGCTGTATGCCTGTTGTGTTACAAATGATCAGCTGGTCTTGTAGGATACAGAAATAATGCTGTGATCTAACAATTGTTTTCATTTGTCTCATATCTAGACCTAACTCTTTGAATAAGATTTTTTTTCAAATTTAACACTCAGCCTCTGTGAAGCTTAAATATTACAGATGGGTTGATATATCACACAGAGGTATCAGTAATGGACTCTTTTAGAAAATAATTGGCTAACACTTGCTTAGTAATAACACATTATATTCTCCCATCCCATGCTGCATAGTTGCTAAGATATTTCTGAAAGTTTACCTAAGGATTCCTTTAAATTCTAATTGGTTATAAAGACTTTTTTAGCCAGGATGGTATTGTAGCAGAATATTTGTCATTTGTCTGTCACTTCTGTCTGTCTCTTTCTCAAAGATGTCACCAGTTTGAAACAGGTGCATGGAACATCTATGGGTAAAGGCTCTGAATGGAATTTGAATTGTTTTGTAAATAAACCATTACCTTACTTGGAATTGCAGAAAACTTTTCCGTATTTTGGCTCAGACTTTCATGTTGAAAGTTCTTCAGTTTTTTGTTTTTTTTGTTTTTTTTTTTCTTTCTCTCAAATTTATGCTCAAATTTCTGAAAAATAACTGCAGATCTCTATAAATAAGAAACAAGAACAAGTATTGCTACTAAGTATTTAATTAGAACTAATGGGAGTATTGCTCTAAATAGTTCTTATGTTTACCTTGAAAGTGCTAGGTGATGCACCATTAAAAAATTTTTAAGGAATGTTGTAGAAAAATATCTAAATAGTTTTAAGGATCTTTTAACATAACAAATGTAAGGACTTTAACAAACCATTTTTGTTACCTTGATTCTGACAAGATAACAAAATTATAATCCAAACTCAAAATCAATGAAATAAGGGTAAATATGAACAGAAGAAAACAATAGTCCAACAACCTCGAAGAAATAAAAGGGAAATAGACCAAGTGTTCCAGAAGAGTAAGTGTCTTCTGCTTCATCGGTAACACCCACCATTGAAATCTTGGTCAATCCATATTAGTAATGTTATGTTCCCAAATGAGAGCAAGGTAAATAACTCCTGAACCACCAGGTATACTACTAGATTTAAACTAAATTTAAATAGGTTTCTTTTCCCATCCAATCAATATTCATGTAAGATTTCCTGACGTAAACTGTATATTGTGTATTTTTTGGTAGAAATTTCAAAGTTATAAACAAATGCTACAAATTTGAAATAAAAACATAGTATTTTGTTTGCCTCTATAGCCTGTACTGTTTCTATACAGGGTAAACAATAGGATGGCCACTTCAGGGGGCACATTTCTTGTAGTAATTAAATGTTACACATATTAGAACTAGCTCCCTGATCTTGTCCATCAACATTTTCCAGTAGTATTGCATTGGTAATGCTTTTCTATTTTTAGCCTTACTCGGTGATAGGCTTTCCCCCTACTGTATGCTTGTCTTCAACAATTGAATAAAAATTTAATTGACCACTATTGTTCTCGGTAAACTAGGAATGCATTTAAAATGTCTTTAACTCATAGAGATATGCAGAAATATTTTTTTGAAAATGCATGTAAATTGGTATGATAATGTTTCTGTGTGGTACCATCATACCCAGATAGCTTAATGTTTAAGCATTGTTGACTAATATTGACCTTTAATAAACTAATATGAAGACATCTTCAGTAGCGCCATTCATCGTGGAGTGCATTGTGCTTTAGCTTTGCCATTTTTCCCCTTATATACAGGTTAACAATATATGTTGATAAAATTTTGGCTTGGTAAATCAATTTTAAAAAATGGCTTTGAAATATTTTAAATAGTTGCTTATTAAAGAAATGAACTTTGTTCTGCATCGTAAGCATCCTAACTTCTGTGTAAATACAGGTGAAGTAAACAGTCAAATGTCCACTTTTGAAAATGACTATTCCTTGACTGAATTTGTGTTTGAGGCTAAAATTGCCATTAAATTGTCTAATGTTCTTTATTTTTCAGAATTGTTTGAATAAATTTGCTCATGAGATGTCAGAAATGCTAAAGTATTTTACAGTGAGTATACAGATATATACATAATATTTTTTCAAAATCCTAAACAATCATTTAAGGGATGGAACCACCTACCTTGGATCATCACCTCAAACTACCCAGAATATAAATAAAATCGCCCACATACAATCTACACCTCAAACTACCCAGAATATAAATAGAATCGCCCACATACAATCTACACCTCAAACTACCCAGGATATAAATAGAATCACCCGCCATGGAACTTAATCTCAAACCATCCTGAAAAGGGATAGCACCACTCACCTCTGATCACAACTTAAACTTCCAATCTCCTCAAATCACCCTAAATATAAATAGTATCACCTACCTCCGATCTCTACAACAAACAACCCTGAATAGGGATGGAACCAACCAATTTAAAACTCCAACTCGAACCACCCTTGATAGGAATAGAACCACCCACCTCCAGTCTCTACCTCAAACCACCCTTAATAGGGATGGTACCACCCATCTCGAATCTCCGCCTCAAACCACCTTTAATAGGGATGGTACCACCCACCTCGAATCTCCACCTCAAACCACCTTTAATAGGGATGGTACCACCCACCTCCAATCTCCACCTCAAACCACCTTTAATAGGGATGGTACCACCCACCTCCAATCTCCACCTCCAACCACCTTTAATAGGGATGGTACCACCCACCTCCAATCTCCACCTCCAACCACCTTTAATAGGGATGGTACCACCCACCTCCAATCACCACCTCCAACCACCTTTAATAGGGATGGTACCACCCACCTCCAATCTCCGCCTCAAACCACCTTTAATAGGGATGGTACCACCCACCTCCAATCACCACCTCAAACCACCTTTAATAGGGACGGTACCACCCACCTCCAATCTCCACCTCAAACCACCTTTAATAGGGATGGTACCACCCACCTCCAATCACCACCTCAAACCACCTTTAATAGGGACGGTACCACCCACCTCCAATCACCACCTCAAACCACCTTTAATAGGGACGGTACCACCCACCTCCAATCACCACCTCAAACCACCTTTAATAGGGACGGTTCCAGTGAACTCCTCCCCTCCACTCCCCACCTCAAACCACCTTTAATAGGGACGGTACCACCCACCTCCAATCACCACCTCAAACCACCTTTAATAGGGACGGTACCACCCACCTCCAATCACCACCTCAAACCACCTTTAATAGGGACGGTACCACCCACCTCCAATCACCACCTCAAACCACCTTTAATAGGGACGGTACCATCCACCTCAAACCACCTTTAATAGGGATGGTACCACCCACCTCCAATCTCCACCTCAAACCACCTTTAATAGGGACGGTACCACCCAAATCTTACCTTAACTTGGGGGTGCAATGTTATTTTGACTGAGGTACCACAGCCCATCAGCCATATGTGATCAGTGAGTCTTTTAATTCTTTGATTGTCATAGAGAAATGATTTTCACAAGATTGCACAAAAAAGTCCATTAAGAAAATTGTTTTTGTGAAGAAAAAACTAAAGTAAATATATATTTAGAATTGTGCTCATATGTTTTAATATCTTTGTCCTATTATAGACAGGAATATAGTGTTGTGTATACCTGTCCATTCCCTGAGAATCAAAATCATATCTTGAGAACCTCTTTACAGATTTGGTTCATATTCACCCTATTAGTATAATAACATCATGTTGTACTCCTTATACCGAGATGATCATTGGTCGATGTGCTTTCATGTCTTACAGACATTTCTGGTTATAATACATTGTGATATAAGATTTACTTTTTCTTTCTAACAGATACTTTTGGACCAAGCCAATAGATCTGTGTGTAAAAACCTGACAAATTTTATCAAAAAGTAAGTACACTAAAGCATAGCACAGCTTACAGATGACATTCATGGGTGTTAGTCAGCAAAGCATGTTAGGTTTAATATCAAACTTGCCTTAAGGAACTACAAGCTGTTCAATACTTGTATATATCATTGTCAATATTTATCCTGTTATAAGGGGAGGTAACCTCAATTTGATTGCATTACTGGTATAATTCTTAGCTGTTAGCAGTTCCTGAGCTGGTAATGTACATCTGACTTTGGTAAGGTTTCACTGTAACAATGCCATACAGTGATTAGTCTTATGATATGGGATGATGTAATGTTCAACATGCAGTATACTGTAAATTAACTTATTTAGGTGCTACCAAATTTTATCGCCTTATTTATTTTAACAAATTAGTGAATGATGAATTATTGCTACATAAACAATGTACAGAAATTAGTGCAGTCAAGTTTTAGTGCAATGCATTCAGCAAAATATGTGCTAAAGTAAGATTAACGCTGTAACTTGTACTGTAAGAGTGTTATTTATTGCCTGTCTGTACTGTGTTTGTCATACTGTACTTCCTCTAGCTGGTTACATTTTGTGACACATCATTGGTCTGGTATGTCACAGTTTCACTGATATTGAAATTGCTTTGTATTTCAGTGACATAAAAAAGGTGAAAGATTCGAAGAAAGACTTTGAGAAAATCAGTGATGAATTAGACTCGGCTTTAGTACGTAATGCTGGTGTCCAACGTAGTAAACAGCTAGAATGTGAGGAGGCTGCCAACCAACTCAAGGCTAAACGTTCTGGCTTCGCTCTGGCATCTCTAGATTATGTATTTCAGGTAAGGCTGATGTTTAGTGGGAATCTGTCAGCATCCCTGTCTGATACGTAGGAGAACATCTTTTTTATTGATTTATAAAGAATGAATGGATTTCGGTTTCTGGAAAACATTGTCAACTCTCCATTAACTATCTTGATCATTGTATAGAAATAGAGGGTCATGGTGATGAAAAACCAACCAACTAACAGCTAAAAACTTATTTGTATCAGTATGATGATTTTTGTAAATTTAAAATCATTCGTTGTAAAATTCTTATTTGTGGGGGATTTATATATTCATTGATTTCCTGGGTGATTGATCCATGAAATATTCGTTGATTTCCTGGGTGATCTTTGATCCATGATATATTCGTTGATTTCCTGGGTGATCTTCGATCCATGATATATTCGTTGATTTCCTGGGTGATCTTCGATCCATGATATATTCATTGATTTCCTGGGTGATCTTCGATCCATGATATATTCGTTGATTTCCTGGGTGATCTTCGATCCATGATATATTCGTTGATTTCCTGGGTGATCTTCGATCCATGAAATATTCGTTGATTTCCTGGGTGATCTTCGATCCATGATATATTCGTTGATTTCCTGGGTGATCTTCGATCCATGAAATATTCGTTGATTTCCTGGGTGATCTTCGATCCATGATATATTCGTTGATTTCCTGGGTGATCTTTGATCCATGATATATTCGTTGATTTCCTGGGTGATCTTTGATCCATGAAATATTCGTTGATTTCCTGGTTGATCTTCGATCCATGATATATTCGTTGATTTCCTGGGTGATCTTCGATCCATGAAATATTCGTTGATTTCCTGGTTGATCTTCGATCCATGAAATATTCGTTGATTTCCTGGGTGATCTTTGATCCATGAAATATTCGTTGATTTCCTGGGTGATCTTTGATCCATGAAATCATGTGTCCACCAAATATTCAAATTTAAATTCAGTTTGAGATGATTTATTGTGTTATATTTATCCATGAAATGGAGAGTTCACAAAAAAAAAACCACGAAAATGTATCATTTTTCAGCAAGAGTGTTTCAGAACTATCAGTGTTTAAAAATCATAGTCAAATACTTTCATTTTACAAATCATTTTGAATAAAAGACTACAAGAAAAATAATTATCAACTGATATCTAACAGATACATCTTTGTCAGTTATTGTCTGGCTTGGTCTTAAAAACCAACTTAATATGAACGTAGAAACATGTAGCAGGTTATAACCATAGTTAATTGATTGACAATTTTAAATTTTCAAATTGGAAAGTACAACGATAACAATGTTTTTTCTTTGTTTTTCAGATAAATATTCTTCATTCTAAAAAGAGATTTGATATATTAGAAACCGTAAGTATCTTCAGGAGAAGAATGCAACTTTCAAATACTTTGTTTCAGGTTTATATAAATTCCTTGTCTAATACAAAATTTATTTGAAATTGGAGAACATTTCCCTAATACCAGCACCAAGTATACATTAGAGTTCATGTACTAGATCATAAAATCTTGAAATCTTAAAATCAGCCCAACAAAGTTTGAGATTCATTAAGGACAGTGTATTTATTCACTGACAGCTTCAGTGCAGACAAACCAGTTCATCATCACAATGTAACATTAAGGGCATCAATAGGGATGGACATGCAATCATTGAAATTGACCTCAGAAGGCTTAGTTACAGCTTAGTTACAGCTTAGTTACAATGTAACATTTAGGGCCTTAATAGGGATGGACATGCAATCAGTAATATTGACCTCAGAAGGCTTAGTTACAGCTTAGTTACAATGTAACATTTAAGGCCTTAATAGGGATGGACATGCAATCAGTAATATTGACCTCAGAAGGCTAAGTTACAGCTTAGTTACAATGTAACATTTAAGGCCTTAATAGGGATGGACATGCAATCAGTAATATTGACCTCAGAAGGCTTAGTTACAGCTTAGTTACAGCTTAGTTACAATGTAACATTTAGGGCCTCAATAGGGATGGACATGCAATCAGTAATATTGACCTCAGAAGGCTAAGTTACAGCTTAGTTACAATGTAACATTTAAGGCCTTAATAGGGATGGACATGCAATCAGTAATATTGACCTCAGAAGGCTTAGTTACAGCTTAGTTACAGCTTAGTTACAATGTAACATTTAAGGCCTTAATAGGGATGGACATGCAATCAGTAATATTGACCTCAGAAGGCTTAGTTACAGCTTAGTTACAGCTTAGTTACAATGTAACATTTAGGGCCTCAATAGGGATGGACATGTAATAATTAATACTGACCTCAGAAGGCTTAGTTACAGCTTAGTTACAATGTAACATTTAGGGCCTCAATAGTGATGGACATGTAATCAATAATACTGACCTCAGAAGGCTTAGTTACAGCTTAGTTACAATGTAACATTTAGGGCCTCAATAGGGATGGACATGCAATCAGTAATATTGACCTCAGAAGGCTTAGTTACAGCTTAGTTACAATGTAACATTTAAGGCCTTAATAGGGATGGACATGCAATCAGTAATATTGACCTCAGAAGGCTTAGTTACAGCTTAGTTACAGCTTAGTTACAATGTAACATTTAGGGCCTCAATAGGGATGGACATGCAATCAGTAATATTGACCTCAGAAGGCTTAGTTACAGCTTAGTTACAATGTAACATTTAGGGCCTCAATAGTGATGGACATGTAATCAATAATACTGACCTCAGAAGGCTTAGTTACAGCTTAGTTACAATGTAACATTTAAGGCCTTAATAGGGATGGACATGCAATCAGTAATATTGACCTCAGAAGGCTTAGTTACAGCTTAGTTACAATGTAACATTTAGGGCCTTAATAGTGATGGACATGTAATCAGTAATATTGACCTCAGAAGGCTTAGTTACAGCTTAGTTACAATGTAACATTTAAGGCCTTAATAGGGATGGACATGCAATCAGTAATATTGACCTCAAAAGGCTTAGTTACAGCTTAGTTACAGCTTAGTTACAATGTAACATTTAAGGCCTTAATAGGGATGGACATGTAATCAGTAATACTGACCTCAGAAGGCTTAGTTACAGCTTAGTTACAGCTTAGTTACAATGTAACATTTAGGGCCTCAATAGGGATGGACATGTAATCAGTAATATTGACCTCAGAAGGCTTAGTTACAGCTTGAAGGAAAGGAAAATAAGATGAGTAGGTCTGCCCTTATTTTATACACAAACACCAGTCCAAATCGTCAAACCAACAAATGAAAATGGCCCTGTTCTCAAATCCAAGAAAGAAAAAATATCTGTGAAAATGTTATTTCCAGTTTTCTGAATGTAAGAATAAATATTACAATGTTGATACACTGACAATTTTAGGAATACATGGTATAGAAAGTAGCATAGTTCTACTTACACTGTTAGATAATGTTAGATAATGCTGACGTGTAGCAGAAGATTTATAGAACGCTGAGTGTGAGCAGCTACAGATAAAGATAGAGAGTAGGTTTGGTATTCTGTGTGGAAAATGAAAGCGAATCTGAAGAAGTGTTACCGGTGATTTTTACAGACAAGAAGAAATGTATCAATTTTAATCAAATTATTAACAGTGAGAACCTGAAGAATGAAACATATGTGAAAGATCTTGGTGTCTGACTGACTTCTGCTATGTGTTTTAGTGCCCACATTAATCATACTGTTTCCAAAGCAATGAGAATGCATGGCTTTATAAAAACGTACAAGTTTTCAACAAATATCTGTTTTAAGGTCTTGTCAGGAGTCAGTTAGAATACTGTTGTCAGATCTTGTCTCTTTACCAAACATCTTTAATTCACTAAGTGGAAATCCTCCACTGCAAATATTCACACATCGATTACAATTCCATGTCTTGTCGCTTGTAGACATTTTAATCTTCCTAGCCTCAAACACTGAGGACAAATGTGTGTTTTAGTCCCTGGTCGTAATCTGTGCCAGAAAAGTCTAGTAAACATTAGAAAGTAGTGGTTTCATCAGGATTCTATGCAATTTTAACTCTCTTGATTTTGCACCAGGCTGTGATATGTTTTGTTTATCTCTGGCAGAGTTCAAGGAACAGTTCTATTTTCGTATTTTTTAGTGTGTGTTACATGCAAAACTGACTGTGATATTTCTTACTTGTTATTCATTCTGTAAGTGGGTCTGTAGAATTGGAAATAAACAAATAGTATATCTATATATACTAAGATACAAGGTAGAACCAACACCATAATTCCAGTAGGTGGTTCTGGGTTTCCTTCACCCTTCGGCTGGATACCTGAAGGCATGCAGGGTTATTGTATTGTAGGGTAGATTAATACAAGGTAAACAACAACTTCCAATTATGTTTCTTCAATTTAATATGCTCTTCATCGATATGTTTCACCCTAATCGGGCTTCATCAGGACGAAACTACATCAATTTCTATCCCCTAAAGTATAAAAATTATGGGTGCAACATTTCTATAAATAGTTACTATTTGTCACTATGAATAATTACTTTTGTGACATCCCACCGTAAACGACTGCCATGTGGGATAACTATTGTGACATCCCACCGTAAACGGCTATGCAATATGAGATAACTATTGTGACATCACACCGTAAACGACTGCCATGTGAGATAACTATTGTGACATCACACCGTAAACGACTGCCATGTGAGATAACTATTGTGACATCCCACCGTAAACGGCTGCCATGTGAGATAACTATTGTGTTAATTTACAATCTGTAACATTTGAAAGCTGTTGTGGTTGTTTATCCTTGTATTGATCTATTTATGATAAAATCATCCTTAATTTAATGCCAACCAAACATTTACAATGACATCTTCTTCAACAAATATGCCTGATTTAGTAAATTATTATCTACCAGATGTCATCACATACAAACATGAAATTTCCAGCTCACAAGAATAACATTTGGTACTTTTAACATTGTGTCATCCAACTAGTATAATTCTTCGCAACTTCAGTAAATTAAAATGACATTTTGTATCTAACTTGTGTAATTCAAAGTGACATTTTTCTGTCCAGATGCATTAGAGTAAAGTGACATATTATGTCTAACTTCTGTAATTAAATTTTTCTTTTTCTGTCTAACTGCAGTAGAGTGAAGTGTTCTGTCTAACTGCAGTAGAGAGAAGCATTCTGTCTAACTGCAGTAGAGAGAAGCGTTCTGTCTAACTGTAGTAGAGTGAAGTGTTCTGTCTAACTGTAGTAGAGTGAAGTGTTCTGTCTAACTGCAGTAGAGTGAAGTGTTCTGTCTAACTGCAGTAGAGTGAAGTGTTCTGTCTAACTGCAGTAGAGTGAAGCATTCTGTCTAACTGCAGTAGAGTGAAGTGTTCTGTCTAACTGCAGTAGAGTGAAGTGTTCTGTCTAACTGCAGTAGAGAGAAGTGTTCTGTCTAACTGCAGTAGAGAGAAGCGTTCTGTCTAACTGCAGTAGAGAGAAGCATTCTGTCTAACTGTAGTAGAGTGAAGTGTTCTGTCTAACTGCAGTAGAGAGAAGCATTCTGTCTAACTGCAGTAGAGAGAAGCGTTCTGTCTAACTGCAGTAGAGAGAAGCGTTATGTCTAACTGCAGTAGAGTGAAGTGTTCTGTCTAACTGTAGTAGAGTGAAGTGTTCTGTCTAACTGTAGTAGAGTGAAGTGTTCTGTCTAACTGTAGTAGAGTGAAGTGTTCTGTCTAACTGCAGTAGAGAGAAGTGTTCTGTCTAACTGCAGTAGAGTGAAGTGTTCTGTCTAACTGCAGTAGAGAGAAGTGTTCTGTCTAACTGCAGTAGAGTGAAGCATTCTGTCTAACTGCAGTAGAGTGAAGCATTCTGTCTAACTGCAGTAGAGAGAAGCATTCTGTCTAACTGCAGTAGAGAGAAGTGTTCTGTCTAACTGCAGTAGAGAGAAGTGTTCTGTCTAACTGCAGTAGAGAGAAGTGTTCTGTCTAACTGCAGTAGAGTGAAGTGTTCTGTCTAACTGCAGTAGAGAGAAGTGTTCTGTCTAACTGCAGTAGAGAGAAGTGTTCTGTCTAACTGTAGTAGAGTGAAGTGTTCTGTCTAACTGTAGTAGAGTGAAGTGTTCTGTCTAACTGTAGTAGAGAGAAGTGTTCTGTCTAACTGTAGTAGAGAGAAGTGTTCTGTCTAACTGCAGTAGAGTGAAGTGTTCTGTCTAACTGTAGTAGAGAGAAGTGTTCTGTCTAACTGTAGTAGAGTGAAGCGTTCTGTCTAACTGCAGTAGAGAGAAGTGTTCTGTCTAACTGCAGAAGAGTGAAGTGTTCTGTCTAACTGCAGTAGAGAGAAGTGTTCTGTCTAACTGTAGTAGAGTGAAGTGTTCTGTCTAACTGCAGTAGAGAGAAGTGTTCTGTCTAACTGCAGAAGAGTGAAGTGTTCTGTCTAACTGCAGTAGAGAGAAGTGTTCTGTCTAACTGTAGTAGAGTGAAGCGTTCTGTCTAACTGCAGTAGAGAGAAGTGTTCTGTCTAACTGTAGTAGAGTGAAGCGTTCTGTCTAACTGCAGTAGAGAGAAGTGTTCTGTCTAACTGCAGTAGAGTGAAGTGTTCTGTCTAACTGATGTGATTAAATATATCATTTTCTGTTTGTTTTCAGATGTTATCATTTATGCATGCTCAGAGTACTTTCTTCCATCAAGGCCATGAATTGTTCAAGGAGTTTGAACCAGAAATGAAATGTGTTGCCTCACAGGTAAATAACTTCATACATCAAATTAACCTTGTGATAATTTAAATCTTATAAATTGACCTGGTGATAGTCTACATCTTACAAATTAACCTGGTGATAGTCTACATCTTATAAATTAACCTGGTGATAGTCTACATCTTATAAATTGACCTGGTGGTGGTGTACATCTTACAAATTAACCTTGTGATAGTCTACATCTTATAAATTAAACTGGTGATAGTCTACATCTTATAAATTAACCTGGTGACAGTCTACATCTTACAAATTAACCTGGTGATAGTCTACATCTTACAAATTAACCTGGTGATGGTCTACATCTTACAAATTAACCTGGTGATAGTCTACATCTTACAAATTAACCTGGTGATGGTCTACATCTTACAAATTAACCTGGTGATAGTATACATCTTACAAATTAACCTGGTGATAGTCTACATCTTACAAATTAACCTGGTGATAGTATACATCTTACAAATTAACCTGGTGATAGTCTACATCTTACAAATTAACCTGGTGATAGTCTACATCTTATAAATTAACCTGGTGATTGTCTACATCTTATAGATTAACCTGGTGATAGTCTACAACTTACAAATTGACCTGGTGATAGTCTACAACTTACAAATTGACCTGGTGATAGTCTACATCTTATAAATTGACCTGGTGATAGTCTACATCTCACAAATTAACCTGGTGATAGTCTACATCTTATAAATTGACCTGGTGATAGTCTACATCTTATAAATTGACCTGGTGATAGTCTACATCTTATAAAGGTCACAACCATTATATTTGATTTATGATTCTTCATCTTAATAACAGGTTCATTGAGCTCATAATGGGTTCATTAAGCTCATAACAGGTTCATTGAGCTCATAACTTGTTCATTGAGCTCATAAGGGGTTCATTAAGCTTATAACAGGTTCATTGAGCTCATAACTTGTTCATTGAGCTCATAAGGGGTTTTTGAGCCCATAACAAGTTCATTGAGCTCATAACATGTTCATTGATCTCATAACAAGTTCATTGAGCTCATAACAGGTTCATTGATCTCATAACAAGTTCATTGAGCTCATAACAGGTTCATTGATCTCATAACAAGTTCATTGAGCTCATAACGGGTTCATTGATCTCATAAACAGGTTCATTGAGATTCGGGGCTGTGGAACACAAGATTGTCAAAATGTCAACCTGATTAAAACGTGTTTTACTTTCAGGTGGAAGAATTAAGTGCCAAAGCTAGTCAAGAGCGCAAGGAGATGGAACAGAGACATAGCCTTGTGCAACAAAAGGTACGGGACTTTTATATGTTTTACCTCTGTTGAGTTGTGAGCTGCCTTAACATCTAAGACAACATCAATTAATGTGATTTAAAAATTACTTTTTGTCTGGGATCATCCTTTCGTCTTCATGTTTGTAAAACTCTGATGGAATGTCCTTTGGAGATTTATGGATCAGGTGTATGATCCAATGGGATCTCCTCATATAAGTAAAATGGATCAGGGCTAATTGTTACTGAACCATTCATAATTTCTGGTTTTAATCATTTCACCTCACTGACCATCTGATTTACTAGCTTAGTAACATGGGAGATAACTCTTCCAACACTATTAGATAGGATGACACTTTGTTAAAAATGGATTTAGAATCTGATGTGACTGATGAGTGATGGAAAACTGACAGAAAGATGAATATGTGTCTTATGAAAGAGTATTGAAAGAAAGTATCATAATTAGAATAAAAGATGTGTCTGATTACTAAGTATGACATAAGACATATGTCTGAGTATTGAATACAAGAAAAGACATGTCTAAATATTGAATATAAGATCAGACATGTCTTATTGTTTAATAGAAGATAGATTTATCTGATTATTGAATATGATATAAGACATGTGTCTTATTCTTGAATACAAGATAAGAAATATGTCTGATTGTTGAATATAATATAAGATAGAAAGTCCGATACTATGAGTTAATATATATTGAATGTAGGATCAGATGTAACACTGCTCAAATTCATGTTTGAAGCAATTTGTTCGATGAAGAATCAATACAAGATGTATCTGATGACTCAATATGATATTAGACCTGATAACTGAAAACAAGATCCAACATATTTGAAGACTTAATAAAACGCAAGACACATTTGATGTGTCAACACAGGATAAGACACATTTGATTGGTCAACACAAGATAAGACACATTTAATGTGTCAATACAGGATAAGACACATTTGATGATTCAATATGAGATAAGACACATTTGATGTGTCAACACAAGATAAGACACATTTGATGACTATATGAGATTAGACACATTTGATGACTCTATACGAGATAAGACACATTTGATGACTCTATACAAGATAAGACCTATTTGATGACTCTATACTAGTCATAGACACATTTGATGACTCTATACGAGATAAGGCACATTTGATGACTCTATACGAGATAAGGCACATTTGATGACTCTATACGAGATAAGAGACATTTGATGACTCTATACGAGATAAGAGACATTTGATGATTCAATATGAGATAAGACACATTTGATGTGTCAATACAAGATCAGACACATTTGATGACTATACAAGATAAGACCTATTTGATGACTCTATACTAGTCATAGACACATTTGATGACTCTATACGAGATAAGGCACATTTGATGACTCTATACGAGATAAGACACATTTGATGACCCAACACGGGATAAGACACATTTGATGACTCTATACGAGATAAGACACATTTGATGACTATACGAGATAAGACACATTTGATGACTCTATACGAGATAAGACACATTTGATGACTATAGGAGATAAGACACATTTGATGACTCTATACGAAATAAGACACATTTGATGACTATAGGAGGTAAGACACATTTGATGACTCTATACGAGATAAGACACATTTGATGACCCAACACGGGATAAGACACATTTGATGGCTCATACGAGATAAGACACATTTGATGACTATAGGAGATAAGACACATTTGATGACTCTATACGAGATAAGACACATTTGATGACCCAACACGGGATAAGACACATTTGATGACTCTATACCAGATAAGACACATTTGATGACTATACGAGATAAGACACATTTGATGACTCTATACGAGATAAGACACATTTGATGACTATAGGAGATAAGACACATTTGATGACTCTATACAAAATAAGACACATTTGATGACTATACGAGATAAGACACATTTGATGACTCTATACGAGATAAGACACATTTGATGACTATAGGAGATAAGACACATTTGATGACTCTATACAAAATAAGACACATTTGATGACTATAGGAGGTAAGACACATTTGATGACTCTATACGAGATAAGACACATTTGATGACCCAACACGGGATAAGACACATTTGATGGCTCATACGAGATAAGACACATTTGATGACTATAGGAGATAAGACACATTTGATGACTCTATACGAAATAAGACACATTTGATGACTATAGGAGGTAAGACACATTTGATGACTCTATACGAGATAAGACACATTTGATGACCCAACACTGGATAAGACACATTTGATGGCTCATACGAGATAAGACACATTTGATGACTCTATACGAGATAAGACACATTTGATGACTCTATACGAGATAAGACATATTTGATGATTATGCAAGATAAGACACATTTGATGACTATACGAGATAAGACACATTTGATGACTCTATACCAGATAAGACTCAGTGATGTAAGGACCTGTCACATTGATACTGTTTTAATGGAGAACATCAAATGTTTGTATGTTACTGTAGTAATATTTATATTGAAGTTTGGGGAGTAATTTTGATGTTAGATAGTTGTACTACTTACCAGAACATTCCAGACATAAGTTGTGGTGCAGCTTTTCTTAGTTATCAAGTGGATCACTTGAAAAGTCTGGTTCAAAACTCTTACTCAATCAACAATTATATCAAACCACACTAAGTAGCTATTTGCATTAGAGCAGAACATTTGTAATGATATGTGAAAAGATATTTTGATTATTTTGAAGATGTATATATCATTTCTCTGCAGCAGTGGTTAGTTCAAACACTTGTGATTGTATACATTACTTTCTCTTCAGTTGCGGTGAACTTTAAAAAACTTATGATTGTTAAAAAATATACAAAACCGAACAAAGACAACATCAGTATAAAATGGATGAAACTTTCATCAGGGTAAAAATATATTTTTACCTGTTGTAAAAGAAAATAATAAGTTTCCTGAAAAAATTTCCCATCCTGATTACAAATGTAGAGAGTCTTCTTGCAGTTGTTTTCAACAAATAATTCACACTCAAGGGGTGTAAAATGCTCTCAGATATTATGATAGCTGGAATATTGAGTACATAATGATAGATTGTCATCAGCTGTCAGATTTACAGAAAAGTACAGTCCTAAACTTTCCTTGTGATAATTGATATGACACTCAGTCTAGCAATTCAAGCCCCAAATAGACCCTTCCTTTCAAGGTAAAAAAAAGGCAAAGAAAAGAAAATTTCACTCTGTCTTTTGGTGAAGAAAGTAGTAAACAGCTATATCTGTAGGGAAACCATTAATTTTAGTTTATGTTGTCCGGAATTTTGATGTGATTCAGATGTGGCTTTGATTTAAAGGCATGTAGACAGTGTATCTGCTGTTAGTGGTCCCCGTTATGTTAAACTGTTATATCAAATTAAGCTGTAGACGAGATACTATTACATTATTGTCGTTTAACACTTCTCCACAATATCCGTACCCCACTGTGAAATCTGTAAAATCAATTAACAAGATCCAATTGGTATTTTCATTTTTGTTTATGAATAGAAATTAACACACTGCTGAAACTACATGTATGTAATTTGAAACTGATGGAAGTTGCTGTTTTCTCTGTTTCCCTGCTGTAATTCTGTTGGGATATTTTGTAAAATCTCTTATTTCAAATGAATATTGAGGAATTCAGTGTCGGTTCCCATGGCCAAGGTTGTGGAGAGAAACATTCTGTTTATCACAGGATGTGCCTATCCATTATGCTAAAGAAAATATTTATACATCTGTTCTTTGAGTTGACTGATCCAATTCCACCTATAAAATGTCAATGTATTACGCAGACTTTACCGGCAGCCAAACTATGTCAGCGGCCAAGCTATGTCAGCATTATACTTCACTTTTAAACATAAGAATGCTATATTTAAAGTGCTGAGTGTGCTAAAACTAAACGTTATCCCTACAACCATTGTGTTGGAATAAACATGTAACTATGTATGTATGCAGTTATGTCTTAATTTCAACTCATTTATTGTTATTTTATATTTTTTTTTTGCAAATTTCACATTTTTACCATTATTGTAAGTATGAATTATGTCCCATAATCATCTGGGAAATGGTTTTTAGGTCACCTGAGCCGAAGGCTCATGGTGACCTATTGCCATTATGATTTGTCTGATGCGTCGTTAACTTTTCACATATTCGACTTCTTCTTAAGAACCACTGAATGGATATTGACACAACTTGGCACAAAGCATCCCCATGGGAAACCGCTTCAAGTTTGCGAAGAAAAAAGGCATGGCCCCAATAGGGGCCCCAGGAGGGGGTAAAATTAGGTAAATCTTTAAAAATCTTCTTCTCATGAACCAAAAGTCAGATTAAATTCATAATTGATATTTAGGGTCCTTATAGCAAGGTCTACAATGTTTGCAAATGAAAAAAAAATCGGGTCAAAAACGGCTCCACTAGGGGGTGCTCAAAAGGGTCGAAAATTCAACTTTGACCAATTTCAACCAAATTAGGTAGACAGCATCTCTTAGTGAAGGACATATGAAATTATGTTGAAAAAAGTGATAATGTTCCCTTTGGGGCCCATAAAGGATGTAAAAGGGGCCATGTGTAAAAACCTTCATTAAATGCCTACTTCTCAAGAACCAGTGGATGGATTTTGACCAAACTTGGCACAAAGCATCCCCATGGGAAGCCACTTCAAGTTTGCGAAGAAAAAGAATGTGGCCCCAATAGGGGCCCCAGGAGGGGGGAAAAGGGGAAACTTGATACGAATGTTCTACACAAGGTCCTGGCAAGTGTCTTAATTTTTTGAGGCGATTCAAAATCCAAGATGGCCACCCTGGCCTCTGTTTGGCTAAGACATTATGGACTTCCTCTCAAGAACCATTGGGTGGGTCATGTTCAAACTTGGTACAGATGTTTTACACTTGGTCCTGCACAAGTGTTGTTACATTTTTGCAACATTTTAAAATCCCCAGATTATTGACATATATTCTTCAGGTGACCATTAAGGCCCCATGGGCCTCTTGTTTCATTATGTGTTCTGTAAATCCTTGTGTTTAGGAACCTGTTAATCTCTGGTGTTGGTTGATGACAGAGATTGATCTCTCCTATTACTACAGATGGAAATGTTTCTATTTGCTGCCTATTTATTGTATGAAAATATTCCAGATGTAGAAACGTTGGTCATTTTCATAATTAATTGGTAGGTCAAAGGTCAAGGCATCTTCAAACACATGTTCAATTTTTGATGAACTTCATCTCTTTCACTCCCTTTTGAGTGTAGTGAGGGATCTTAGAACACCACAAGGCAAAAATTAGAACCCTTGGATTTCAGAGAAGTAGAGAGCTCCATAAAAAAACAGTATGAAATTAAATCAGATAGATTGTAAATAAAACTGATGGAGAAAATCAAGATCGGTGTCCCTGAAATTAATATCCATTGTTCTCCATTAAAGGAAGCAGTGTTTCATTGGTAATGACTTTGTGTGAAATCTTCATCTCAGAAGAATTTTATGTTCTTAAGTAAATGTTTGTAGCGTCAAACTTTTGAACTTCTGCATACTATGTGCACTTTTGCACCATATGGTACATTTCAAGAGTCTGTAAGAGTCAGATGATTTTGTAAATGGCTACTGATTGCACCATATGGTACATTCCAAGAGTCAGTTAGAGTCTGATGAATCTGTAAATGGCTACTTACATCTGCCTGGGAAGTCTGCATACTTTCACTGCAGATTAAAGCTATCATCTTACCTGTGTATATATATACTGCTAATTTTCTGTATAAGCTACGTAAATCTAACTCTACTGCCTAAAATAAAATGTTAATATTTCGTGTTATTTGTCCTCCTCAGAAAAACTTGAGCTCTATGATTGTTAAATTTTGTATATTTATTATCAGACATTAGTAAAATATTTAATGTGGTAAAGGAGGAGAGTTTTTTCATTGTATATAGTGTATATAAGTATACACTTCTGTAAAATAATTCATTTCCTTAGGAGCTCGTTTTCATTAATCTTACTGTTACTCTGAACAAGTTCTGAAATCAACAAACTTCAGAAATAATGTATAGATTTGTTGAGTAATTATATTTTTCCGTCAGATGTCTGTGAAACAGTCATCCTTTTTAAAAAAAACCCACGAGAATTGAGCTCCTTAGAAATATATTACTTTACAGTGTGTTTAGTATATGAGTCTTTTTATGAAAGCCATTAGATTTATATTTCTTTCACAATTTTTTTTTCAAGTTGTAACCAAAACTAGCACCAAAATTGGAAAAAATATTTTTAATTAGCTCAGTAAGATACCACAAAAACAAAAGGCTAAACAAATTCTTTAGGATTCACACCATGAAATCTACCCATCAGATCTGTGTTTGTTTCACATACTGTTGTAGGTGTTATGTCCCTTTGTTTTACAAGCCTTTGTGGTTAAATCTAAGCTATCCTTATACCAGAAGATATAGAGATTAACACTTTGTCTCTGACTCGGAGAGGAGAGATGCTACTTAACACTTTGTCTCTGACTCGGAGAGGAGAGATGCTACTTAACACTTTGTCTCTGACTTGGAGAGGAGAGATGCTACTTAACACTTTGTCTCTGACTTGGAGAAGAGAGATGCTATTTAACACTTGTCTCTGACTCTGAGAGGAGAGTTGCTGTGTAACACTTTGTCTCTGACTTGGAGAGGAGAGGTGCTACTTAACACTTTGTCTCTGACTCGGAGAGGAGAGATGCCATTCAACACGTGTCTCTGACTTGGAGAGGAGAGATGCCATTCAAAACGTGTCTCTGACTTGGAGAGGAGAGATGCTACTTAACACTTTGTCTCTGACTCAGAGAGGAGAGATGCTACTTAACACTTTGTCTCTGACTCAGAGAGGAGAGGTGCTACTTAACTTTTTGTCTCTGACTTGGAGAGGAGAGATGCTACTTAACACTTTGTCTCTGACTTGGAGAAGAGAGATGCTACTTAACACTTTGTCTCTGACTTGGAGAAGAGAGATGCTATTTAACACTTGTCTCTGACTTGGAGAGGAGAGTTGCTGTGTAACACTTTGTCTCTGACTTGGAGAGGAGAGATGCTACTTAACACTTTGTCTCTGACTTGGAGAAGAGAGATGCTACTTAACTTTTTGTCTCTGACTCAGAGAGGAGAGATGCTACTTAACTTTTTGTCTCTGACTTGGAGAGGAGAGATGCTACTTAACACTTTGTCTCTGACTCAGAGAGGAGAGACGCTACTTAACACTTTGTCTCTGACTCAGAGAGGAGAGGTGCCATTTAACTTTTTGTCTCTGACTCAGAGAGGAGAGGTAGTGTTTGACTCCTTATCTCTGGTTTGGAGCTGTGAGGTGGACTGACTTCAGAGTATAGCATCTGTTGACAATTTGACATAATTCAAAGAGATGTGGGTGGGCTTATTACCAAACTTGGGCATATTGCCAAATATAACAGTTTTTCTTTGTGATGCTGAGGGGATTGACATCACTTGTCTAACATGGAGACTTAGTGTTGTGAATCTTAATACATGTGAAATATACAATATCAAAAGTTCATTATAGATAGCAATTCATCTGCATAATTACTATAAAATTTGTCATTTTGGTGGCTGATTACTTTTCATTGAATTTCATGGGAACTCTTCATCCACGACTTTGTTTGCCTGCTAAAAGATAAACCATTGAAATTGACATCAATTTTAGTGAGTGAATTTCATGAGCAGGGTTTTCAGGTGCCAACCAATATGTATTTCCTAGCAACACAATCACAAGATTTAACAGTATAACAATATTAAAGTCGGTCAACTTCAGGAACCAGAATTGAAGATTCAGTTCATGGATGTTCAATGGACAGATTTTTGAAACAATGTTTTGAGAAAAAAGTCAACCTTGCTGATTTAAATCCAAAACTATCCAGTTGGACTTGTTCCTGAGGATATGATCTCACAAGACAACACTCAGTAATAATCTGTACTGCTGGATTTCCTGTGCTGTATGCGCTGCAGCTTGCTGTATATATACATCAGATAATAATCGGCTACAGTCTCTTGAGTATAATACACAGTTCATTCTATTTGTAGTTATCTAAATCATGCATCTGCAAGCTTAAGAGCTAGTAGTTGTGACCTTTGACCTTGGTCTAAGTTTTGGTCGTTTGCGCCGGCATCTTTGAGTTCCATCTTTAAGGATCCGGCAGCACTGAATAGTGCCGTCTGACTGAGCACTGCACTTCCTACGACGTAGAGCACGTCGGTTGTGTCGCTTTCCCCTATTACGTCGCTTCTTTTTTCCTTTTTTGTTTTTTCTGTTTTTGTTCTTTCTGTTTTTCTTTCCTTTCCTTTTTCGTCCTTTCTTTTTTATCTTTTCTGTATTTGTCCTTGCTCCAGGATTCATACTGGAACTTGTTGGCACCAAAACTCCTGCCTGTTGTAGTCGTTGAATGGTTTGTTGTGGGCCTGCATTTCTGGATACATCACTTACTTGGTTGCCTCCCCTTTGTTGTGAACTCTCCTGTTGAGATCCAGAAACAACATCCCCCTTTAATGACAAACGTGACACCTGTAATGGCGGTGTGTCCACCTGTTCTGGCCTGACGTTGGTAGGTCTCTGCAACGATTTCACAAAATATCTATTTGGGAGATCCTTGATTTTCCTTCCCCTTAGCTGAGGTGGTGATGCACATTCTAGTTCCTCTGAGTTATGAAAGACAACTCGGCCTTCCGACATCCATTGTTTTAACCATATTAGACTCTTATCACAGTGAAACGGGTTTCCGTCCAACAGTAGCTGTTGTACGCCACGTAATGCTCCTTTTACTGCTTCAGGGAGGCTTTGGATTTCATTATACTGCAGGTTCAAGGTCATCACACGATCCAATCTGGTCCTAGATCTGACCAAAGCCTTCAGAATACTGGACACAAGTCCTGGGCTGTTCATAAAGTCCAGAGTATTGATACTGGACAAAGAGTTTACAAATTCTTGTGTCACATGTACTGTGGGAGAAGCTATATTAGCCATTGACAGGGAACTGAGTCGGGAAGGAAAAGCACCATGGTCAATACTAACCAATGAGTTGTGTGACAGCTGCAGTGTGGTCAAGGCCGACAAATCGGTGAAGGTCCTAGCTGGGATCATTGCTATTTGATTGAACTGTAGGTTAATCTCCTGAATACTCTGTAGACCTCGGAATGACTCCGCGTGAACTCTCTGAATTTTGTTCATTTCAAAAGACAGCAGTCGTAACTTGGAGTGATTTAGGAAAAGATGTGACTGTACTTCAAAGATTTCGTTGTTGTCAAGGTAGAGTGTCTCAAGATTTTTAGGAAGACCCTGTGGAATGTAAAACAGCTTATTGTTGCTCAACCAGATCTCCTTTAAATTTGTGAGAGGCTTAAATGCTCGATAGCTGATGTTCTGAAGCATGTTGTTTTCCAGCATCAACAAGCGAAGATTTCTCATTCCTTTGAAATCTTCGTCTTGAATCTCTGTTATCATGTTGTTGCCGAGGCGGAAGTCTGCAACTGAGTAAGGCATCCCAGTAGGTACCCTCTTGAGCTGACTCTTGGTAAAATCTACAAGTTGGAGCATGGTGCTGGAGAACTGTAAGTCAACAGTGTGCGTCAAGGCATTATTGCTGAGAATGAGATAACGAAGATGCTCCAGATTCTTGAACGCCATTGGATGTATCCGATTGATATGGTTATTGCTAAGATCCAACATTCGAATCATCGTATTTGTCTGGAAGTCGTCCTCTTCAATCTCTATCAGCTGATTAAATCCTAGGTAAACGGACGATAGTGATGTAAGGCCTTCGAACGGCTGCTCAAGTCGTTGTAAACGGTTGTTTGTGAGGGTTATGATAGACATTTCGTCCAAGCCCCGGAAGGCTCCATCCTCCAAGGTTGCTATGAAGTTAGAGGACAGATCTATCATCGTGAGGTGTGGGATATTCACGAAGGAATTAGCAGCGATATGACTTATACCATTGTTTGGTATTCTGAGTGATTGAACATTTGGAAGTGACTGGAAGCTACGGCCATCAAAATCTGTAATTTGGTTTCCAGTGAAATCCAGAACTTCAACCTCCTCAGGAAAGCGTCTAGGGATATCTCGTAGACCAGCTTGGATACAATTGGCTGTGCCACCTGTGCAGGAGTGGCATTGTGGTGGACATGGCACCACATGTGGTATCCACAGACACAGAACCAGACACACTGCATGTATAAAACTATCCATGGTCATGGTCTTCATAAGCAAAGGGTCTAGTGGGACAGGGTAAAATAGGCACAAATCTTTTGTAAGACTTCCTCACACTTCACCAGGAAACATCTGTAACATTTAAAAACATCAGGTGAGTTAAACTCAAAAAAAAAACATTTTAGTGTGTGACACACAAAAATCATCCAGTGTGTGACACACAAAAATCATTTAGTGTGTGACACACAAAAATCATTTAGTGTGTGACACACAAAAATCATCCAGTGTGTGACACAAAAATTCATTCAATGTGTGACACACAAAAATCATCCAGTGTGTGACACACAAAAAAATCCAGTGTGTAACACAAAAAATCATTCAATGTGTGACACACAAAAAACCATCCAGTGTGTTACACACAAAAATCATCCAGTGTGTTACACACATCAGTTAAACATTAAGTGATTGTTAACAGTAGTCAATTAAACAGACACCATTCACCAGTAAGTTTATTTTGAGTGTTTCTTCTGCTGTTACATCACTAATCAGCCCAGGTCTCTTTATGGAAGAATTTTTAAAAATCTAGAATTAAAGGTAGATTTTTTGATAAATAACTTATTGAAAACAGAATTTCAGAAGAATATAGTCAGTAACTGCAAAACGAACTCACATGTCAATATATGCTACAAATTCTAGCCTTTAATCTATTTTATGGAAACAACTTTCATTTATCAGACATAACATAATGAAAGACATTCTTAGAATCAGTTGTTAAATGTTACAGACATGTTTTATGTATAGCTTCTCCTTCATAACATAATTTTGATGGTATTGCTTTCAAATATCAATTCAAGATATCTATTGCAGATCTAGAATGATGGGAGAATATGTGGTTTGGGAATACCTCTGGTTAGTTTGTGTCTTAGTCAGATGTCTTAGTCATGCTGAGTTCTTTATGAAAAAAGAAAAAAGTATTTAAAAAGGATATGAGGATATGTGGGAATTAAGTATAAATAGACAGAGATATTGTAATGTATTTGTTGGAGATGGACCCATGATAAGAAAATGGTATGAAAATAAAGGAATATGCGTGTATGAGCAAAACATTGCAGAAATATAGATAGTTAACAATGATATAAGTATATACTACATTCCCGAGACAATGGCATGGTTATAGAACTGTTAGAAATTATCTATCACCTTTTATGTTACATAATTGAAATTATTTTCTTATATACAAAAATTATATATCTAGAAGAATTATTTTGGTAAAAATGACATGAAAGAAGAAGACACATGGAACATGACCAAGCTATTAAGATAGGATAAGAAATAATGTTTTATAAGCTTTATTTTAAATGGCTAATTACAAAGAAATGTGTTTACATTAACGTTAGACTTTATAAAACCTTCAGTCCCTGTTAAATTCATTGGCATACTTTCCAACCCTCCCTGTATAAGAGGGAGACTCCCAATTTTAGGACCTCTACTAATTTTGCTATTTTCAACAAGCAAATTGGCTTTTCTTATGTTCTAAGATCTAATAATTCCTTCAAATGAACCACCCAAAAGATGTCATTTACAGTGTTATCTCTTTATTGGAGGGTATGTGATATTTTAATTTTTGTTTTCATTTTTGAGCACATAAAATTTCCCCTGTGAAAATTTTAAAAAGCTGATAAGTATGGATGTGAAACAGAAAAAAAAACATTTAAACAGGTGTTTTCTATATTTCACCTGAAATGCTGACATATGAAGGAATAGACAGCACACCAGAGCTGTCTGTGATATACTGTCCATGCTTGCTGTATCTAAAGAACCAATCTAGGAGGCCTCACAGGCTATGTCTTTCCAGATGCATAAACAATACTGTTGTAGATCTGACTGTTCAATTAGTTGTTGGTCGGTTGTGTTAATGGTAAGTGGGTTAGATAAACAAATGTCACACTAAAATAACACCTGTGATGGTATTGGTGATCAGAGCTACTAGAACTCTAAACTTCTTGGCCCTTTTCTTTTTTTTTTTGTCAGGAAATTTTCCAACAATGTTCACTGTTCTACATACAGGTCGTCTCGTGATGTACGTTTAACAGAGAGCAGATGAATCCATTCGCAGTTGGGCACCTTATCTTAAAACAATGTTCACATACAGGTCGTCTAGTGATATAATTTTAACAGAGAGCAGATGAATCAATTTGCAGTTGGGCACCTTATCTTGAAACAGAATGTTCACATTGAATAAAGGAAAACAAATCCTACTCTCTAAATAAAGAAAAACCTCATTAACTGTTACTGCTGATAATCCAACCTTTTCTTCTTTTACAATCTTTGAAAAATGACAGAAGTTTGTGGCATACATCCTTCTCCTCAGTAACCAAGAATCCCAGAACCAGTAGCATGCTATGATACAGGACTACCAAACTTTGATAAATGAATGACCTTAACCCACATTCAAGGTCAGAGGTCAAACTTGTAAAATTCTTTGAACAACTTCTTCTCAAAAACCAAAAGGCCATTACTGACACTGTGATACTGAATGACAAGCATGCTGTGATGAAGGGCTGTCAAATTTGTTGAATTGAAATACCTTGACCAACCTGTAAGTTCACAGGGGTCAAATGTATCAAATTTTATAACTTCTCACTAATTCAAAAGCTAAGTTTAATGATATGCAGGGCTTTAAGCTTTCAAGGTCACAAATGTCAAATGTGTTAAGATATCAAAACAACTTCTCAATAGCCAAAATGGTGAAGGTCATGATATGGAACTGTAGCATACTAGGAAGAAGGACTATCATACTTGTTTTAATGAATGACCTTGATTCACATTCAAGGTGAAATAGTCAATTCTTTTTTTTTCATTTTTAGTACTAAAATACCCATTAGTTTCATTATTTCAACTGCAACATATTTATTGTAAAGAAGGGGTATGGTGATGACAAGTAAGATGCTAGAATAAGCTGCTGATCAGGTGAGCAATACAGTTAAATATGTTGTCAGGGGTAACGAAACAGCTTTCTATGTTCTGCCTCTGTAAATGTGTTTTGTGTAAGGTGATTATGTTTAATCAAATGTCCACCATTCTATCTGACACATTCTTGGTGTGACAAACATGGTGCCTAGAGCCAGGTAGGACGTAGGTAATATGCAGCATCAAAAGAAAGCTTGTATTGAATGTCATTGCCTGTAGATGTTTAGACCACAACAGGACTTAGAGCACCTGAGGCCACAGAGAGAGGTGACAACCTTAAACTTAGGTCATACAGATTAGGCGTTGGGCTTCATTTGTTGACAAAAGTTTGCGTTGTTGTCCATTTATGTTTTTTTTTATTCTATCTTGACTTTAAAGGCAAACCCTTGACTTGGGGAGAGATTTATTTTAAAAGCTATCTGCCTTCTAATATAAAAGGGGGCAGATCTTTATAAAACATTCACTATAATGTAACTGGCATGTAAATTTCAACCATTTGTAAATGGCCTGTGAAATAAAGAATGAAATCAATAAAGACCCTATTATCCTAAATTATTTTATATCCATTGAGTTTGAGAAAAGTGGTAATATCAGTTTGAATACCAGGTAGTTGTGATTTTAATAGTTGTTTAAATGGTTTTATAGTACTGGAAACATTTGGTACTATATATCATTGTGTCATGTGTGATAAGGTTTGGATCACCTATTTGTAATTACTGCTTTTGTTTCAATGTATACTTAAAACATGTGTATCTAAGTAACTGAAGGATTCTGGTATTCAAAATTATGGATATCATCTTCTTATTATGAATATTTTACAAACCATGTAAATCAGTTTGTCACTTAATCAACACTCCTGCCAGATAGAATGGTGAATTTGAAGAAAGAAAGGACATTTTAAGGAAACTCTAAAATTTGATTAAAAAATAACTACAAATGGTATTATCCTGTAAATGTAGAAAGTAACAAAGTCATTATTATTATAACTTTGATCACATTTGATATAAATTTGAAATTAATGATTTACTTTTTCTTTTCTTTTTTTCTTTTCATTAATTTCATATATAGCATTGACTAATTTCTGCATGAAATTAAAAGATGTACAAGTTATAAATTTCTTGTTAAAAATATGTATAGTACAATGACTTTAGAAATATCAGTAAATACTTACTTTTCGTATAAAATCTTATAAATTCCAGATAAGAAATATGCACTTAGTAACAGTAATAATGATGTAGTCCTTCAGTCCATCACCACAACACTACCCATCTACCAGTGACTTCTGTCTGACAGGGGAGGAGGGGGCTAACAAGTCCTTTACATGTTGTATACACTCACTGTGTGGGAGAGTGTAGGTGAACACTCACTGTGTTGGAGAGTGTAGGTGAACACTCACTGTGTGGGAGAGTGTAGGTGGGCACTCACTTTGTTGGAGAGTGTAGGTGAAAACTCACTTTGTTGGAGAGTGTAGGTGAACACTCACTGTGTGGGAGAGTGTAGGTGTTCACTCACTTTGTTGGAGAGTGAAGATAAGCACTCACTGTGTGAGAGAGTGAAGGTGAACACTCACTGTGTGGGAGAGTGAAGGTGTTCACTCACTGTGTGAGAGAGTGAAGGTGAACACTCACTATATGAGAGAGTGAAGGTGAACACTCACTGTGTGGGAGAGTGAAGGTGTTCACTCACTGTATGAGTGAGTGAAAGTGTTCACTCACTGTGTTGGAGAGTGAAGGTGAACACTTACAGTGTGAGAGAGTATAGGTGAACACTCACTGTGTGAAAGAGTGTATCTGAACACTCACTGTGTGGGAGAGTGTAGGTGAACTCTCACTGTATGGGAGAGTGTAGGTGTTCACTCACTTTGTGAGAGAGTATAGGTGAACACTCACTGTTTGAGAGAGTGAAGGTGAACACACACAGTGTGGGAGAGTGAAAGTGTTCACTCACGTGGAAGAGTGGCTGTGTGGGAGAATGGCTATTTGGGGTAGTGTTATGTGACTTGGCTTACAAGTAATTTTTATAAACATCACTCCATGTTACAGAGTTATAATAAATTGATTTACTTTCAACAGAGCTAAATGACAGTCGACAGTCATGTTTATTTTGGGCTGAAACATGTATTTCATTTTGTGAAACTTACTGAAGTGGCAAATGAGTGTATTCAGAAATGTATGATTCATATTTTGTTAAAAAGAGAAATACATAGGCTTCTCAGATTCAGACTCAAAAGTTTAAGTGAATTTCAGAAAAATCTTAGCAGTCAGTGGAACAAATTTTTTTCACTTTAAACATAAACAAACAGGTGGGTCAGTTCTGTGTAAATGAAATGAATGGTTGTGATATAATACCCAGGATGGAAGGAGATCTGTTCACATCCATCCTGTAAAATTTTAAAAATATAAGGTTTAAAATTTCATGTTATGAAACACTTATTTCTTAAAATTCAGTATCATGGCTAGAAAAATTAAGAGAAATGATTGTCAAAATTAAAAAAAAAAAAAAAAAAAAGTAATGTGAGGCCATTATGACTTCCTTTATCAGTTCGCTCAAGAGTAAACTTTTGATGTTGTTGGCCGGAATTTTTTAAAGGCATCAGAATGCACCTCAGCTTTGTTGTGATTAATGGCTTCAGGCACACAGCCATTACAGAAATGTTTTCTGTGGTACATTGTCAGATTTCAGCTCTTGAATTAATGATATTAGTCCAGGAATTCAATGGCAACAAACTTAACTATTGCCAAAACAATAAAGCTTGGCTATAGGAGATAGATGTGATGGTTCTTCTCCTGGTGGCTCTCAGGCTTGTCTCAGGGATATGGTGGCTCTCAGGCTTGTCTCAGGGATCTTGTCGCTCTCAGGCTTGTTTCAGGGATCTGGTCGCTCTCTGGCTTGTTTCAGGGATCTGGTCGCTCTCTGGCTTGTCTCTGGGATCTGATGGCTCTTAGGCTTGTCTCAGAGATCTTGTCGCTCTCTGGCTTGTCTCTGGGATTTGGTGGCTCTCTGGCTTGTCTCAGGGATCTGGTTGCTCTCAGGCTTGTCTCAGGGATCTTGTCGCTCTCTGGCTTGTCTCTGGGATTTGGTGGCTCTCAGGCTTGTCTCAGGGATCTGGTGGCTCTCAGGCTTGTCTCAGGGATCTGGTGGCTCTCAGGCTTGTCTCAGGGATCTGGTGGCTCTCAGGCTTGTCTCAGGGATCTGGTGGCTCTTAGGCTTGTATCAGGGATCTGGTCGCTCTCAGACTTGTCTCAGGGATCTGGTCGCTCTCAGACCTGCCTCATGGATCTGGTCACTCTCAGGTTTGTCTCAGGGATCTGGTGGCTCTCAGATTTGTCTCAGGGATCTGGTGGCTCTCAGGCTTGTCTTAGGGATCTGGTCGCTCTCAGACCTGCCTCATGGATCTGGTCACTCTCAGGTTAGTCTCAGGGATCTGGTGGCTCTCAGATTTGTCTCAGGGATTTGGTGGCTCTCAGGCTTGTCTTAGGGATCTGGTCACTCTCAGGCTTGTCTTAGGGATCTGGTGGCTCTCAGGCTTGTCTCAGGGATCTGGTCACTCTCAGGCTTGTCTCAGGGATCTGGTCACTCTCAGGTTTGTCTCAGGGATCTGGTGGCTCTCAGATTTGTCTCAGGGATCTGGTGGCTCTCAGACTTGTCTCAGGGATCGCTCTCAGGCTTGTCTCAGGGATCTGGTGGCTCTCAGGCTTGTCTCAGGGATCTGGTGGCTCTCAGGCTTGTCTCAGGGATCTTGTCGCTCTCAGGCTTGTCTCAGGGATCTGGTGACTCTCAGGCTTGTCTCAGGGATGTGTTGAATGCACATCATTCCTGTAAATGCTAAATACTTCTGGAAACTTCTCTGAGATTGGAACAAGCATTTGAACAAATGTAAAATAAAACAGAATAAAACCTCTATGTATGATGAATGGTGGTAGGTGAGTTTATTTACCTCGAAAAGTCCTTATAACTATCTGTAAAGACTGACTTACAATTACACTGTTTTGGTGAATGCCAGCAATGAATAATTTATCTATTAATGTGCAGTGGTCTTTTCCAAAGTATAATGAAAAAAAGTTTGAGCTTCTGCTCTGTACAATGAAGTTATTCAAAACAATTGCTGTTAACTTGGTGTCAGTAATTTTGTGTAATATTTCCACTTTAACATTTTGTGGTATGTCATTATTTCTTCACTGTTCCCTTCAAAGTTTTTTTTTACTAATGCATATGTTATTTCTCACAATCAAACGTAATTTTATCAGAATCATTCTGTCACTGATTAAGAGCGTTTTGACATTTGAATGACCTTGAACCAGCTAAAGGTCATATCACATCTCATGACATGGAGAAACTAAGACATGTCTACTGAAAGTGCTTGTAGAGTCACAAATTAGGATGGTCTATTTGACAGTATTTTAAAGGAGGAAGGTAAAATTTGTTGAAAATGTGTGTGTGGTATGGGGAGCCTATGAGGTTAGGGTGTCTGTAGACAGGCATTACTGAATCAAGTATTGTTGTATGAGTGGTCTTTCTAGACAGGTGTTGCTGTATAAGGTAAAGCTTTTTGGATGGTTTCTCTAGACAATTATTACTCTATCAGGTAGTGTTATTAGAGTGTTTTTCTAGACAGAAGTCACTGTATCAGGTATTGCTATTGGAGTGGTCTCTATAGACAGGTTTACTATATCAGGTAATGTTACTGGAGTGCTCTCTGTAGACAGGTATTACTATATCAGGTAGTGTTATTTGTTTGGTCTCTTTGAACAGATGTTACTGTATCAGGTGTTGTTATTGGCATGGTACTTTATTCAGAAAATGTGATAAGAATGGTCTCTCCAGACAGGTATAACTATCAGGTAATGTTACTAGTGTGGTCTCTCTACACAGGAGAAACTTTATCAGGAGGTTGATCAGAGAGGTCTCTCAAGACAGATATTACTCTATCAGGTAATGTTACTAGTGTGGTCTCTCTACACAGTAGTTATTTTATCAGGAATTGTGATAAGAGTGGTCTCTCCAGAAAGGTATAACTATCAGGTAATGTTACAAGTGTGGTCTCTCTACACAGTAGTTATTTTATCAGGAATTGTTATAAGAGTGGTCTCTCTAGACAGGTATTACTCTATCAGGTAATGTTACTAGTTTGGTCTCTCTACACAGGAGTTATTTTATCAGGAATTGTTATAAGAGTGGTCTCTCTAGACAGGTATTACTCTTTCAGGTAATGTTACTAGTGTGGTTTCTCTACACAGGAGTTATTTTATCAGGAATTGTGATAAGAGTGGTCTCTCTAGACAGGTGTTACTGTATCAAGTCATGTTATTGGAAATAACATTGGAATGGATGTGAAAAGATATGGGGTCACCTGCTCAACCAGGTGGGTTTCACGGGTACTCTGGTTTCCTCCCACACTAAGACCCCTCGTGTGTGTTTTCCCCGGGTACTAAGGTTTCCTCCCACACTAAGACCCCTCGTGTGTGTTTTCCGCGGGTACTCCGGTTTCCTCCCACACTAAGACCCCTCTTGTGTGTTTTCCCCGGGCACTCAGGTTTCCTCCCACACTAATACCCCTCGTGTGGGTTTTCCCCGGGTACTCAGGTTTCCTCCCACACTAAGACCCCTCGTGTGTGTTTTCCCTGGGTACTCAGGTTTCCTCCCACACTTAGACCCCTCGTGTGGGTTTTCCCTGTACTCAGGTTTCCTCCCACACTAAGACCCTTCGTGTGCTTCCATCCGAGCCAACCACAGTGATAAATAAGTTGGAAAATCTTGCTTCGCAATTGTTGTAAAATAAATAAAGATTATCTAAATACACCTTTCTTTATATTATTCCCCATCAGGTTACAGAAGAATTTTGAAGTTATGATAATTGTTGTCTCCTTCACTCTTTCCACTGCTGTTGGTGCACTATGTCCAGTAGTAACCTTCCGATATTTGGCACCAGTCCAACAGGTGCTGTTTACACTTAAGACAAGGCTGAACATCTAATTGAGAATAAACACCAGTGTTGATGGGGTAGATGGCTGTCTCCCATCACTATGTTGTACACTGATGCATCCTTTACCATAATATTTGTAATAAAATAAGAAAAATAGAGTCAGATTCAGGTAAGTGGTTTCTTCAGTGGGGCGCTTCACTTGAGCTTGGATACCAAAGGTATGCAGGGTGATGAATGAAATAATAAATATGAGACCTTAGAGATTAATCGCAACAAGAACAAGTGTCACAGTTAGTGGGTACTTTACTAAACTGTCTAATAGTTTCACCTCCAGTC